ATTTCAAATAATCTGGACGGATCAGAAGATGACTGTTTATTTATGGATGAGGGTAACACAGATGATGAAGACGAAACAGATTGTGATGACGTGCCTGAAGAAATAACGGAAGACGAATATAATGAACTATTTATGTAATAACGAAAATCAATAAAGTATATAGGTAAAGGTATGTTACTTCTGTAAAATAAAAGAATTTTTCTACATTTAAATTTTTTTAATCTATAATATTTTATATTCGCCACATAACCCTAAATTCCAATGTTATTTTTTGTATTAAAAGTGCGCGTTATACGTCGGAATATATGGTAATTAATATTTTACTAATACTAACAATAAATAAAATTAATTTATGTTTGTAATAATACTGTATTTAGTGCTTTTTGAATTTAAAACTTACAAATTAATATATGATTTCATTAATAAATAATTTAATTATATAGATTTAACAACCAAAAAGAAGAACCTTTTCTTTTTCCATGCCAAAATCTGTGCACGTATGCTCAGAAAACATATCATATTCAACAAATGTTCCAACATCCATCAATAACTGGATTCGTTCCCTTGCTGTCAACTTACCCTAAAATCACAAAAATAATTAATAAAATTTTATCATAAATTTCTAAGAACAAATCTAACGAAAAAATCATCAAAAATTTCTAATTAAAACTCCTTCTTAAGAAAAACTAAGTTAGAATGGATACAAAAAAACTAGAAGGGAAAAAAAAACAGTAAACATTCAATATGCTATATAAAATAATGCAACTGTTAGTAAATTCATTACACAAACAAATATTAATTTCCAATTTCCATAGGCCATAAAGAAACCAAAATCCCAGTATCAATATTAGTTAGATTACAACAATACAGGTAGTATTACCTATTACAACAATACAAACATTACCTTAATTAATTAAGCTTACTAACATAGTTCATAATAGTTTGGTAGCTTTTATGGCCACCAGAAATAAAATTATTATTTTTTATTTATTTATTTTATTTTTTTGCTTTAGTACAATATATTGACATATGTAATAAAACCAACCATTTAAAAAATGTAACAAAATACTGAAAAATTGATTGAGAAAAATAAATGCAATACAATGAATTTAAATCAACAAATAAGAAATTTAAGATTATAAAAGAAAAAATAACTTACTTAGAAAATTGATGGAATTTATTCAACAATTTGAAGGAGATTGATTAAATAAACTATCAACTTTGAACTTTCACATTATTGGTTTTTAGATGGAATACAGATGGGAAATGCTAAGGACCAAGTGTATCAGTTAAAAGAAAAAAAATATTTAAACCTTTGACTCAGAGCTAAGCTCCAGCAATTTAAATATATATTTATGCATGTTTTTGATTTTCATATTTTAGTAAATTATTAAAAAACCATAACATAATCATGAGCTCACAAAGAAAATTTAGATTTAATTAAGAGGTGAGCTATTTATTCATTCTTAAGGAAAGGAATTAAATCTAATAAATCTTCCTTCATATTTAATTCTTTTTAAATGTATTTGAATGTTGAGAATAGTCTTACTACAACAACTTGTGAGGCGGGAAATGATGTTACAATGAGGCAAGCCTTTTGAATATCTGTACGATACAAAAAAATTGCTGGAGCTATATAACATGGGATGATTTAAAAATTCAACCTCAGCTCCAAGGAAAACATATCTGCTTTGGCTCTAGGTTCAACCTTAAACACTATTTTGCTTCACAAAGGGTCAATTTGGAAACAAATTTGTCCTGTTCACCTCCTATGTGGTTGTTTTGTAAGTCACAACTGCTCTGAAATAAATAAACTCAACTTCTGTAACTGTAGGTACTTGCTAAGATATTACTGATCGGTTGCTTGCAATTGGAATAAATAGCGGTTTTTCCAGAGGAGACTATGAATTATAGCATTAGAATTTGTCTTCTTCTCTGATGCTCAGTTCCCTCCATGCTACTGTTCAGTTTCTAACAAAGATTGGTAGTTTTAGGAAAGATATCAAAAAATAATCACTATATTAGGCAACCTTCAGGACCATGAAATGCAAAAAACAAAGACCACAGAAAGGGACTAACTCAAGGGTATAACTAAAAACAATCCGACAATCTCTACAATTTCTTTATAAATTTTAGCAAGTTTAAAATCCCTTTGGAACCTCGGGCGATTGTTAACTTGCGCGAACAGGTACTGATATGGAAATATCTCCTACCTGTTATTGGCACTGACCAGAAAATGATCATTCCGCATATGCAATTGTTGATAGAATAGAATAATAAAAAATGCCCTATAAGAATCATACTAAAACAATTTTAGAGCTATAATAAATTTATGGTTTTAATTAAATAGCAGTCTTCTGAATACATTATTAAAAGTACAAAACTGATTTGAAATTTTTTTTATATTTCCCCAAATGTACATGTTTTTCTTAAATAAAGTATTATCACTTGATGATCAACAGTGCATTGCAGTTACAATTTTTAAACGGAATATTTAAAAAAAAATGAATATTTTTTCAAGCTATTCAATATTACCTTAGCATGTTGAGCTTCAATTCGTTTACCCCCGCCACCAAGAAAAGCTCTTTTACGGCGCTCTTCAATTTGATTTTTCACATTTAAACTGTGCGCTATACCACTGGATGAAGTTCTATTCACAATTTGAAAAGTTTTTTTACTTGTTAACAGGGTAACATTTCTTCTTAAGAAAGAACTGGTTAAAGTCATTTTACTGAAAAATTACTTTTTACTCTAAAACAGGTTTTTAATTCTGAAAATGGAAATAAATGTAAAGAAAATAATATTTTCACATATCCTTAAGACTATTAGAAGTTTTCAAAATGCAAACGAAACTTTTAGGTGATTACTTCCTCATGAAACAATTTAGCAATCTTAAGTGAGGCTAATTTATCTCCAATCAAATCACATACTTCCCGTCAAGATGAAAAAAATAAGCTTATTAAATGGATAAGCTAACTTCCCTCTGAGGGAGGGATAAATAAAAGATTTAATGTTTATCTTAGGGATTTTTCTTAAACAGAATTAATTTTTAAGCTTTTGCACTGACTGACGGCTTTAAACTACGGAATTATTAATGAATTTTCAATAAATTTGAGAAAACTTGCTTTTCATAAAACTATTTTTGCCTTATAAAGCAAAAATTTTAATGAGAAAAAACTGTCATAGGGAAAAGTGTAAAATGGACGAATCATAAAATCTTTTTGGCAACATTACTTTGTTTATTTACATTTCGACGAATGCGATTTGTAGTATTTGAAGCCGACTAATATTTAACTAATGTGTTTCCATTATATTTCAAAGCTCAAGAAATATTTTAAAAGCTAAAAACTTATTAACGAAGTGAACAGAAGCTCTTACCACTGCATTTGAATTTAAATTTTGTGGACAAAATATATCTAATATGACAGAATTCGAATTAGGCGAATTAATATTATCATCCACACCATTTGCCCATGTATTAAGCAATGAATTCCGGGGTCAATATTGTGATTACTGTTTTATAAAGTACTCTTTATTCATATTTTATTTGAAGAATTATTATAAATTAAAGTGTTTTATTTTTAATAATGTTTAATTTTCTTGATTACGTCTAAAGATGAAAAGATAAACAGAGCTGTTTATCATTTCAATACGCAGGGTTAATTACCTTCTTAAAGACTTAGCAAGTTTTTAAAAGAAATGTATAAGAGTTAATCAGTCGGTATTACTTACAATTCGCTTATAATTAAAAAGGTCTGACGAAGTATCAAAGGTTTTAAAAGTGCAAAAATATTTCAGTTGATACGAGTTTTTAGAAGACAACTTGTATTTCAACAATGTAACGATATTTTTCGTTCGTTGAACTAATTTTTTTAAAAGCTTAATCAAAAATATGTTCGGCACATTAGGATTTGTTAAAACTTTTAAAATGCTCTCTACTTTTTTTTAAATTTAAATTTATTTCATAATTGTTTTTTTTGGGGGGGGGGGATATTAATATCTTAAAAATAGTTTGTTTTGTTTGGGGATTTTTATAAATAGTTACCTTTATGGGCTAACTACAATCACCAAGTTGCCCAACGGAATTTAAACTTGCAACAATTTTAAAAATTATACCTATGCAAAGACTTACCACGGGGTAGCTACTAGTTANAATCTGAATTATTTTTCTCAGCAAACCAACCAATCACACATTTCTTTACAATCGTTAACAGCAATGTTTGTCGACAAATCGTTACAATTGTTGCATTAATGCTAATTTTTTCTATTTCATTTTAACCTTTTATAACATATTTTACTTTTAAAAAAATGTTTTTTTAAGAACCAACTATATATTTATTTTTTATTTTACTCTTTTGTTGGTCAGTATGATTTTTGATTCGATATTTTGTACCAAAACATTAAAAAATAAATTTTAAAAAATCTTGAAAATTGTCAAAATAAATTATTTTTTTCAAGATGATATGTTAAAAAAATAACATTTTGAATAAAATATTTTATAATATCGACACTTTTCTTGTACACATCCTATACTTTATATGAAAAAAGAAGCAAAAACCTGGAAATTTTATGATTTTTATCTGGAAAACCTGGAAAAATCAGGGAAATTTGAAATCGGATTTGAGTGGCCACCCTGTTAATATCTTAAAAATAGTTTGTTTTGTTTGGGGATTTTTATAAATAGTTACCTTTATGGGCTAACTACAATCACCAAGTTGCCCAACGGAATTTAAACTTGCAAAAATTTTAAAAATTATACCTATGCAAAGACTTACCACGGGGTAGCTACTAGTTATATTTTATAAGTCGGTCCCTTTCTGTGATGTTATTTCTAGTTTCTAGCTAGCCACTGCGCAGAAGTTACTTTAATATGATGATTGATTTAGTGGAATTACTGTTATCTCCTTTGCTCTTTTCATTTCAACAGGCAAACATTTAATTACCAACTTACTTACTTCTAGTTTAATTTTTTATAGCTATTTCATGCAGTCCTCATTATTATCATATTCATTTCAATGAAAATCTACTTTTAATATGTGTTTATTTACTCTTATAAACTTTTGCAGAAAAGATAATCTTAAGAGATGCAGCCAGTGTTCATTTCTATATTTCTGTGATAAAAATTGCCAGGTAAGGTTTAGTTTTTGATTGTAAAATATTAATATTGCTTGACTAATATTATTGAAACAGTTATCTGCTTAAATATTGTTTAAATAAAATATTGTTTACAAAATTTTATTGACTAATCTATAAAAACTCTTTCTCCAGCTATGTAGATGTTATGATGCTGGTCTGCCATATGAATTTAAGTCAAAATTTGTGTGGAAAATTGTGTCTAACATTTTAGAGCAACACTTCTGACATCTTCTTAGGTGAAGAACAAAAGTTCTGTATCTTCCCTTAAAAAAAAAAAAAACAAGAAGTTTTGTATTAAATTTTGCTGAAGTATTATGATTGTTGTTAGTTTAGTTTTTGGAAGGAAAATAATTCTTATTTGAAAACATTTTTTAAAAGATGACATTAACTGAAGCACTTTGAAACAAAAAAATATTAAAAAATTTTACCTAAAATTTTTATGAGACATGTTTCAACTACATTCCCTTTCGTTTTTTTCCCCACCCCAGGAAAAAAACCTAAATGTATTGAAAACTCTTGATGAAATGATATATAAGGCTATCTCCATTATAATAATCATATATAAACTTAATATATGAACTTAAATATCAAGTAGAAATATCAGTAATGAACTTGCTTAATTCTGAATAAATTAGCAGAAAAGGAACAAAAAAAAATTTTTTTCATTCAACTGCAAAAATATTTATATTTTGCTAGGGATGTAACAAGTAGTGATTAGGCCAAATAATGAATATTCAGCACAAAAAAAAATGGCTAAATACCGAATAGTAGCATTTAAAAAAAAAAAAATCATTAATAAATATTTTTTATATGGAAATAAGTTTAGCCATTATTGAAAAATAATCAAAACTTAGCTGTATTATTGTTCTCCTGTTAAATAAGAAAAAAAGAACTTTGATAGAAATATTAGATATTAATAAAAATAAATGGTAGATAGTTAGAAATATTTAAGATTAAAAACAACTAATGGCTGTTTAAAAAAAACCTAATGTCTTAAGGCTGAAAAAAAGAAATAGAAAAAATATATATTCTCTTAATTCTTAAACAAGACTTTAATGTTAAAAATAATATTTTCCAGAAAAAAATTATCTATAAGAAATTAAAAAAGATAATGTCTATCAAAATGGCTTTTAAAAATGTAGTGCAAAACAAAACATAAAAAATAAAAATCTATCTTAATTTTTTAAAGAAAATTTTAAAGCTTAGCATTTCAGTTTTCCAATTACCATATTTTCAAGAAAAATTGAAGATTAAAGTCTAATAAAAAAAAAACTTCTTAATTGCCATGTCATAATAAAAACATCTATGAAACATGAGTTTTTGAGAAAGTAAAAGCTAAAATAGAAACTAAATCAAAAATCATTCTCAATTTCTAAATGAAAGATTTAGTGCTAAAAATCTTAATTTAACTTTTTCTCATTGTGGTATTTTTAGAAAAAAATGCCCATGAAAGAATAGCGTTCATTAGAAATGCTCTTTGAATGCTATCATAATAAAAATGCTGATAAAAGGAAAAGTTAATTAAAAAAATCAAAAAAAAAAGCAGAATTTTTTTTTTTTTTTTNTTAAAAAAATCAAAAAAAAAACAGAAAAAAAAAATTTTTTTTTAGTTCTGAAATGTAATTTTAATGTTAAGAAATCAATATTTAGATTGATAAAAACTAACAAATTATGCTTATTAACCAGTTATAATCCAGCAAATAATATTGATCTTAAAGTATTAAGAGTATCGTGTTTTTAAATATGCAATTAATAGTTTCAATAATTCTGGCTTTCTTTTTTATAAATTATATATGATATAAATCTTAATTATAGTAACATATAATGCAAGTATTGTGCATGATTTAATATCTAATATACTGTCCCCAATGACAAAAAAAAACTTGGCCATGTTTTTGTCAAATTTTTACCGTTTTTGACGCTTTTCTTTAATTTTTTGATGTGTCGTATCAGAAACCCAAAGTTTTTAATAAATAGCTGGTTTAATGTTTAAAAAAATACCTACTGTATACTGTTACAATTCTACCTTAGATTTTGCATGAAAATCTTCTAATACTTTATGTTGTCAGGAAATAAATGACTTTTTCAGAAAATAGCATCCTTCCTAGAAATTTTTGTTTGATTGTATCAAATTGTTTGAAAACTACACAAAAATAAGTCAATGATATAAGGTACTCATATGTTTAGCTTTGAGCCATGTTACAAGTTCTTATTAGAGCTGTTTATTTGTCAAGCTACAGTGAGCTCTTAGGCTTAAAAGCAAATTTTCTTCATTTCCATATCCTCATTTGACTACATATTTTATTAATTTAATCTATATAAATTTTAGCAAAATTTTTATGTATGAAAAAATGTTTTTTTTTTCTTGAGTATGGTATTACATGATTTATCTCATATAACCTTTTTTTTCTTTTTATGTTTTTTTCTCTTTATTATTGATAAGAAATTTTTAAAAAAATACTTTTCAGGTTAAAGCTTGGGAGATGCATAAAACTGAATGTAAATTTATTAAGAAAGCTGGCGATAAAAAACCAACTCCTTCTCTGCGTCTGATTGCACTTATAATATTTAAAATTAAGGTAATGTATTTTTAGCTTTTTTTTTCAACTAAATTTTATGTACTTTACAAAATTTCTTAACATTAATATGAGTTTTTTTAAATTTTGCACAGCTTGTGTTTTTGTTATGCGTTTTAACTCAAATTTTGCTGTACTTTTATGCATGAAAATTTAAAGCATTATAATTTTTATTGGATAATTGTTACATTTTAAAACCTGCTTACTTATTATGAATTATTAATAATTATCCTAAGGTAATTACTTCTTTCACTTATGAATTAATTATATTATCGACCTTAAGATATATCTTTGGAAAGGTCTTACAAAATGTCCATTGTAAATATTTTATGGAAATTAGTTTCCAGTTAAATACATTTAAAATTAGTGAATGCTATTCTTATTAAAAGTCTCAATCGACAAAACGTCTAGAAATAAAAAATGTTCAAACTATAAAGACTAGCATGGGCAAGTAAATTACCAAAATTCGTCTTTTGTGTTGGTAATAGAATTCCTCAGATTTAAAAATTTAACTAGTCTTTTGACTTTTAAAAAAATTAAATGCAAAACCATAAATGAAGTCAGTAGTATACTAAAAAAATATATTTATTGATCTCTAGAAATTTAGCTAATTGAGACTTTTGGATAAAATACCATTACATTATGCAAAAGTAATTTAAAAAATTGTACTAAAATTCAATTATATAATGTGCATACAAAAGCTCTTGCATATAAATTTTTAATTTAGTAATACTTTACCCATGTAATAAATGGTGACTGGTTCACTTTAAATTTGTTAGGTTACAAAGTCCTCTGTGTTCCCATAATAGATTGTATCTCTGGCGTAACTGAATTGGAGATTAATCGTTTTCTGGTTCAGGTCAAAATTGTGACCTGTGGAAGAATGAATGGATGTATAAATGAGTCTGCCTTATAAACGGGTGTGACGTATGGGTGTCGCAGAAGTTGAATTCTTGGCCATGAATGGCGCCACTGGAAAATAAGAACAATCGCTCCCTTTACCTTAATGGCCTACAACAACAGTAAAGCTTTAAAAATAATTGCAGATATAGAAAAAAAAAATGTTTTTAACTTGATATCTACCACAATGTTGAAAAAATGTGTCTCCCTGAGCCAAATAGTTTTATCTGCTAATATTACTTGAAATTGTAAAATAAAATCAGGTCTAACTGAGAAATATAGTTTTTTTTTATTTATTTTTTTTTTTGTTTTTGTTTTTTTAAAAAACTTTTTTCATATCTTTCTGATGAGATACGCCTTGTGTGTCTTATGGCCTGAATGGCATTTGTTAACAATGGTGGCCGTGTCTCACCTAAACGCAGGTGCAGCTCACCACTGCCTGCAATGACATCTGTTCTGAGGCGACCAGCAACTGCTCTAGAAATTACAATACAATAATTTACTCATTATCCAATATGGTATTTTTTTTTTTAATATGAAACTTTAATAAAATCAATCATCTTTACCGGGGGTCTAATAGACCTTCTGGTCCTCCTGGTCATCTCATTTTAAAATACTAAGGCTGCAATGCCCAGTGAGACCCATACGGTGTCAGGCGTGGCTAAATGTGCTGGGATACCTGTTGCATGGCATCCATGTCTCGGAGCTCTGACTCATGGAAAATGAAAACACGATGGCAACTAATGTGTTAAGTAAGCATGAGCCCCCATTTTTTCAAGCTTTTAATTTTCTTGCAATTAATAGCTTTTTTGAAACACTAAATTAGTTTTCATTTTAATAGGTTGCTTGAAGGGTTAAAAACTCTCTAAAAGACCTTTCTAATAACCCATTCCAAAAATCACTTTTCCATTTAGATTGTGAGGTGCAACATCCAATTAAAATTACACATTTAACGGTTCTTTACTCTGATTTGAATATATGTTGCTTACCTGAAATTTTTCCCTTTAACTTTCACCTCTGTTTTTTTATTTTAAATTATTTATTCAAGATTAAAAGATAAGTATGCTTGTGACATGTGCCACCAAAATTTTTTGACAATGATTTCTTTTCAGGATTATACTTTTTATAAACTTAGTTTTAAAGCAATCCATCCGTGAAAATACTTATATTTTATTCATCAATTGTAGAAGTATGGTACAAATGAACCATCCGAAGATGTATATGGGCGAAAAGTATCGTTTGCATCACTTATGTCTCGTAAGTTCTGAAATTTTAATCTTTAAAAAAAATATTTTTCAAAATAACAACTCGAAATGTTGTTTTCTTTTAGTTTCATTAAAATCTGTCAGAAACTGCTTGATATTGACAACTCTATGTTTTACTCATTTAAGTCAAAATAATATATTTGTATTTACACATAAAGCATAAAGGAAAAAAGTTTTTTGTGATAATATTTAACTGCTCTGCTGATTGGCCATTATTTATCCAATCTTCTTGAAAATTATTTCATTTTATATGAAACTAAGAATTTATTGAAACTGACTAACTTTTACTTTATGTGGACTTTATTTACTGGTTAAACACATAGAATTGATGCATTAGTATAGAAAATTCTAACTTGAACAGAAAATTACAGTACATTGTAAAATATATGCAAGCTATCATCTGATGTATTTTTGGTAATATTACAAAAGATAATTTGTTTTCAGATGCTGAAGAAATAAAGCAGGATTTGAAAAGGTGTCAAATAATAATGGCTATGCTAATTACACTTAAAGAATATATTGGATCTGATAATTTACCTCCTCCTGCTGAGTTTACTGAAATCTTTGGGAAAGTGAGGCATGTTTCTTGTATTGTCTAATTATTCAATGTATTGCTTTACTATATAAATTTTACTCTTCGTTTTGTAATTTTTTTTTTATATAAATTTAAAAAAACATAATAGCAGCTTAAAATTTAAAAAAAAAAAAAATTCTTTTGCTGTTAAAGTTTAGTAAAAAATATGTGTGGAAGATTCATGCTCCTTTTCTCCTTCCTATGCTGTAACATTATTTAAAATAAGTATATGTAGCAGTAAAAAAATGCTAAAGAATTTTAGAAAAATATATTGATTGAAGTTAAAATCTGTCTAGATTTATAAATTACACTCTGTAACAGTTTCTTCCTGAGTTGAGTTTTTGACATGACACATCAAAAACCTGTCAAAAAGTGTCTCTCCAAATTTGACAAATACTTAGGGCAAGATTCTTTTTTGTCATTGGGGACCTTTAATTAGATATCAAATCATGGACAATACTTTTATTATATACTACTATAATTATGATTTACAATAGATATCATTTATAAAGAATGTAGCCAAAATTATTGAAACTATTAATAGGTTTTTCTAAAAACATTGTACTCTTTATACTTTGATATTATTTGCTATATTGTAATTATTCAGTTTATATTACAGGTAATAAATATGAGTTGTTAATCATTATCCATCTAAATACTGAATTCTTTTATGCCAAAATTAAGGCAGATTTTGTAGAAATAGTGAAATTAACTAATCACCAATAATTGTTTGATCTCAACTTATTAAAGTTATGATGCATCAAAAACCTGTCAAAAGTTATTTTTGTTTCTCAATATTTGTTGTTATTACTTATGTGCAGGTGAGCTGAATATGTTTGATCATCCAATTGAAGTCTTGCGAAATTTAGCTGTCCTGGGGAAATTTTTACCTTGGGTCTAAAAAAATTCCAAAATTTTTTTAATGTTACAAAAATGTGTCGCTGTGCAAACTTTTTTCTTTTTTAAAAAAACATAAGTTGATTTGTATTTATTAATTTGAATTCCTTAAGTTTATGATAATAACCTTTTTAATTTAATAAATATTATTAGTTCAATATATATTTTGATTTCTGTTACTTTTAACACATATGCTTGTTTATTCAAGAATTTTGTAAAATTAATTGAATTTTTTTCTTACATAAACTTTATTGTCCAAAAATATTTTGAAAAAAAGTTATTGTACTAAAAATAAACTACAATTTTGGAAAAATTTTGATCCAAGATAACTTTGTTTAGAGGAAATATTAGGCTCTACCACACATTATATAATTGAATTAGGAGAATTTTCTGCATTCCAGCTTACACGCACAGGAATATCTTCAATAAGTCATGACTATTATATATTCCCTGATAAGTACGCTAATTACACTAACTACTGCACTTTTCGCAAAACATTTCATAGAGTGATAGATTATTAAAAACTAAAACTTTTGGAATTTTTGGTAATTTTACCAACATTTTAAAACCTCACCACAACAGAACTAGAGCAAAATGGTTTTTCATATAGAACTTTGAATCATTTACGTGTAGTGACGTGGAAAATAATTTTAATTACATTTTACAAAACAAAGATCTGCTCATTAAAGCATATATTTAAGTACCACTGGAAGAAATTTTCCCAAAAAGCATAGAAAATTGGCATGCCTATAAGTATAATTTACAAAAAATATTAATGTTTGTTGAAATAAGTTAATATTTTTTTCAACTAATCAATTCAAGAGTTGAATGAAGTTACTACCTATATTTATTACAGTTATTATAATATATTTCCTAATTACGTGTTATTTCATTATGTTATAACAGTTTTAGTACATCTACATTCCAGTCTATGCACTTTAGCGTCCATCGAAAGAATAGTTTCGAATTTCAATCTTATTCATACAAAACTAAAAAATTAACTTTGAGTACAGAGATCTTCAAAACAACTTTTTTGTAATCGCATGCTTCGTGTTGAAGATGAGTTAAAATAGTAATTGATTTTACATACAATGAATATGATGATGGTTAAGTGTTTTTTTTATATGATGAATGTTTTTGTATTTTTATTTTTAATGTTCAAAAAGAAATAGTGAATTGAATAAACTGCGATTTGACACATTTTTATTTATAATTATTTAATATTTTCTACACCAAAAGCTTGGTTTTTGACAGTAATTGTCAAAACAAAAAGGAATTTTACTGTTGAATAAATTCAAGAACATAATTGATCACTTGTAATTTTATATGTATGTTTATTTATAAATATTTCATATGTATAATAGCTGATAATTATCTTTACACCAAAATTTTGAGTTTTTAACAATTGTCAAAAGGTTTTTTTTTTGTTATTACAGTAAAACTATGATTAAAACTGGATAAATTCATAAATTTTCAAAAACTTGCCAACCCTGGTTTCTTTAAAACTCTTTATTTTTGCAACATACTTTTTAGAAAATATTATTTTCTTTTTCTTAAATTGGTGTTATATTTTTTAATTTTGTTAACTTTAGATATTTTTCTCTATTTGAACTATGATTTCAATCAATTTATTTCAGGATAAATTTTCTGTTTCTTCTTGATACTGAAAATTGTCCTAATTTATAGAAGCTGAGTTTTTTTTTTTTTTTTTTTTTTTTTTTTTTTTTTTTTTTTTTTTTTTTTTNTTTTTTTTTTTTTTTTTTTATAATTATTATTATTTCATTTTTGCCCCAAAAACATCCACATACTAGCATGTTAACTAAATGTATATAATTTAAAAAAAATAATGCATGCTCTGGAAAATAATGCATTTGTAATCATATTGTATGATTTTGTAATGGTTAAAAACTTATTTCATACTACCATCATTGTGTAAAGAAATTTTACACTTTAACCTTTTTCTTAATTTTCAGATGTGTGTTAATTCATTCAGTATTTGTCATGAAATGTCACCTATTGGTAGTGGCCTTTATCTAGGGTATGTACTGCAGAAAATTGAGTATCCCTTTGTTTTTTTATCTATTTACACATTATGTACTCTTTTATGTCTATTTTACTTTTTTTTTAAAAAAGCTTTTTGAAAAGAGAATTTTCTGAGTTTAACTGTATTTTTTATATGATACATTTTTAATCATATTATTGTTATTTTACTTTTATTTAGCCAATTTTTTATTAAAGTAGACATTAAAATTGTTTGCATGAAAATAAATTCAGTGTATCATTCTTCAATTTAAATCTACTAAATATTATCAATTTAAATATGAAACTTCACATTTTTATAGGTCTGGGGAAAAAAGTAATATATTTTGATAAAACTATGATCCTTCAATGCTTCCAGTACATACCATACTAGGTCAAAGATATTTACCTATCAATTTAGACATTTATAAGTGAACTGTAGGAGATGAGAAATTAATAGAAATAAAGACAGTGAAGAAAGTTTAAATATCTTAAATCTGTTTGAAATATAAATTTTTTATTTTATAAAAAAATGTATTTAATTAAATCAAGGAGTATAACAGTACTTTAGGTGTAATTGTAGCCCATGTTTATATGGAAGATGAACAGAATTTTTTTTTATTTAATGAGACTATCACATGACCATTTAATGTGACGTGAGTGCTACAAAATTCTTAGGTGAATATTCTGAAATATTAAGTTACAAATTACTGAGCAATAACTGACTATACTTACAAATAACTAAATTTGAAATGTAATTGCTTCTGCAATATTTTACAGAAAAAATGGCCTTTATTGAAATGCATTAAAATTTAGTAGAATTAAAATTAAAGGAAGAGTTTAGTGGAAGTTAGAAGAAGAAAAAAATTTCACGAACATAAAATATTTTTAGATGTTTCAAATTAGTATTGAGAAGTCAACATTTAATTTATATGAGTCTCTTGAAACCATGCAAACGAGTATATGCTTCTCATTAAGTGTTGAAAATTATTCAATTATGGGCATCTTTGCCTATTGATCAATTTTATTATGATAACATATCTAAAAATGATCATTTTAGAGAAATGCATTCAAATCTGGCCTCCATAAAACATGGAGATATAGGCATTATTAAAAGCTTTTAATCTGTCACAATTTCTTTAAAACACTTCTAAAATTAGTGACTCTCTCGAATGCTTTTCTAATGATATAGATAACAATATAAGGATGAACAAGGCTCATTGTTACTTTATGATGTGTACTATACTTTACAAAAGCAAATAATTATTTGCTGTGAAGTAGAGTGTGAAATAACTTTTGGACAAGTTATTTTAAAAATCCAAAACTATAAATTTGTGTTCATCTTGAAAGTACAAATAACATTATGTCCATGATAAATGAAAATATATTAAAATAATTTGTATAAAAGAAAATAGTATGAATGTCGTGAAATAAAAAATAAAGAAAATCATTGAACTTTCTAGTGTTACATTTTTATGTGTAGGAAAGTAAGTAAAGAGCTGTCTTCATTATGATTGGTTAGCAATCTTTTTCTCAGTGGATTGCTAAATTAATAATTGCTTTAATGCTATTTCATGTATGCAGAATTAAATTTGTAATAGTTTTTCAATGCAAAACAAACAAATAATTAATTTTAGTAGTGCACTTGTTATTTATAATAATTTCCTTCTGTTGGTTGTACAAATTCTCCAATAAATTCTGACCTTTCCTAACATTCTCAAGCACATTCCTGTGAGTGGTAGCACCCTCATTAGCAACCTAGGATTTAAATATTAAAGAAAGCTGTGTGCTAGATAACTAAATCAGATAATTAGATTGAAAAGTTATTGCAATATATGTATATTAACATTTTTAGGTAGATTGTAATTTAACAATAGTGGAAAAACAATCTATGCTTCCTACTGAAAAACAATGCTAGAATTTTATGTCGCTTAAATATTCTGATCAGAAGACATAAATAAATGTATTGCATTTTTACTACGCAATTTGCTTTATGTAGAATTATTATTCATATTTTGTTATTTTAAACAACGAGTAAAAAAAAAAAATAAAAAATCTTTAATTTTTTGTTTGAATATCATCTTAAATGACATATCAAAACTTATGCTGCTAGTAAATGTAAGATTATTCTTCAATCTTAAAGGTTTTTTTTTAATTAACTAACGTGTGAATTAATTTTAAATAATGTATTTATTGCTAATTATTAACAAAATTTATTTAATGCAATCATAAAATCGCATTTTACGATAACATGTTCACATGTGTAACAATTATTTTTTATTCATTTATTTCTATTCCAAACTAATCCATTTGATTGTAACTCTATTAGACAGTATGATAATAAATTTATCCATTTTTGTCACTTTTATTGTTGCACTTTCTTTTCTTTTGTAAATAAATGTGTGATTTTTGTTTTATTATCTACCCTATGCATTACAATAAATTTCATTGCAGCATGTTAATTCACGTAAGCATGTAATACTTAAAGAGTGTGCCTCTATATGTTATATAAAAAAATTTCTATGTTTTTATTTAAGGAGATAAAGTATTTCTATCTTATTGCTTGAACAGAGCTAGCATATTTGAAATGTTTCAAGAAATATAAATTAATTTCGATTTTCACGCAAACAATTGCACAACAAGTTAACATGGTGAAATAATTTAAGTAGTAAGAACACTAACAAATTCAAATGTTATGTTTCATGTATTAAATCTTGTGAAATGATAGTGAGTTTTTTATAACTAAAAGATTGTTTATTTATCAATCAAGGTCTTTATTTATCAAAATAGTGTGCTTTGTTAATAATTTATTTTATTTTAACAGAGCTTCAGTCTTTGATCATTCATGTGATCCGGAAGCAGTGGCCGTCTTTGATGGCACGACTTTGAATGTTAGAATGATGAAAAAAGTTCCTCATCGAGACATTCAAAAGGTAGTTATATTATAGTAATGTTTAATTAAATGGTTACTTCATTTTTTGAATTTTGATACAGAGAAGATAAGATAAATATACAGATGACTTACTGTTAAAATTTCATAGCTTGAAACTAAAAGTTGTAGTAACCAAAGAAATCTGTTCTTTACATAAGTATATTAAGACAACAAAAAATGCTGCCCTCAAATTTATATTATAAGTACTGAACTTCAAAAATTTTATTTAAATGTTTTTTTTTTTTTTTTTTTTTTTTTTTTTTTTTTTGCTATTGAATCTTAGGAAGGTTCTTAAATTAGATTATAAACTTAAAGTCATTTATCTTAAAATCTTATCTTATATCTTTGAATTATTTATACTAGCCATTCATCTTAAAAAAATAATAATAAATGCAAAAGCATAAACGTTTATGTCAGTATACCAAAATATATATATACGTCTATTGAAATATCTATTAATCTAGAAATATATCTATTTATCTCCTGAAATTTAACAAATTGAGAACTTTTTGATTGAATGCCAATGCATTATACTGAATTTATTTATAAAATTTAAATTAAACAATTTTAATCAAACAATTTTAATCAATTAAGTTTTAATTAAACAATGTGCGTACAAAACCTTTTTTTCATGTTAATCATTAATTTAGTAATACATCAAAAATAATTGCAGAAAGGAAAAAGTGATTTTAACTGAGCTTTAGTCCCCATTTTTTCAAACTTTGAGCCCTGCTTTTTCAAACATAAAGCTTTCTTACAACCCCATGTTATACAATAGAAAAATAGTGTGTAAAAATGAAATTGTGTTGCCGTTTTACACAGGTACTTGAAGGGTTAAAATGGTTTTAAGCATTTAATTCTTTTTTTTTTCTTTTTAATGTATCTCTTTAATAATTCAATATTGATTTAGTTTGAAGATTAGATTAAGATTTAGAAGATTTATTTATGAAGATAAACATAAAGATTTTCATTCTCAGTATTAATTAATAGAAATTTTGAAGAATTTTTTAAAATTTTTAACCTTTTTTCTCATTTTAAATTTTGCTTCTATTAGCTAAATCAGATATGCCTGAATTTTTTTTTATTTTTATGGTTGTATACCACATAAACTAGAAAATACTGTATTGAGGACCAACATAAGTAACATAATCACGTAATTATAAGCAATGTAGGATAATACTAGGTAGCTTATGTAGAGTGTTATAGGTTTATATTGTATTTAAAAGTGAAGTAAATGACTCTCATATGCCGTAAAAGAAAATCAAAAATTTTCATTTATCCCAAAAATTACCTTTTGCTATTGTTCAGAAGTTAAATTCCATTACTAATATTGTATCAGATTAATATGATGACTGTTATTGATTCTTTGAAATGCAATTTTTTTATTTTTTTTCTTTTTTAAAAAAAAAGAAAATAACCTTTTTCCCCTACTTTATTTGTAGAAACTTGCTAGAAAAAGCATTGCCCTTCTCACACTAAGTGTGTCGCAATAAACAAAACTTGCAAAACAATCAAGTTTAGACTAGCACAGAGACATTAATCAAACTAAATTTCCGAAACATTCAACAGTTACAAAACATTTAACAGTTCAAAAACATTTAACTAACAACGGTATTTTTTTTTCAAAGCTGAGCCAAGCTAAAGGTATTTTGCACAAAAAATGGGCCCATGAGCCCCATGACATCCCTGATTGAAATTAAGAATATAAATGTTCTAGTTATGAAAAAAATTCAATTTCCTTTCAAATTCCGAATATTTAAAATTTAACATTAACTATCTTCTATTTTATATTTAACACAGAATGCTTTTCCTGAAATTTACTTACAAATAAGTATTTGATAAAAATAATAAATGTTAGAATTTTTTGTAGGTTTTTATTTCATATGTTGGAGAATTGTTGTTAAAAGAAGAAAAGCAAAGGCAACTAAAAGAACAATATTACTTTTCCTGTAAGTGTTCTTACTGCATTTTCTCACAAAATGTAAGTCTCAATATTTCTGTATTAATATTATTTGAATTTCACTATACATAGTACAATTAAAAGGTTTTACTTAGTACATTTAATAAGCTAGATGTGGTACTTTTGTATAGGTGTTTTCTTAAATTTCTGTTTTATTTGTATCTATTATTTTAGCTTATATTTATTTTTTAAAAAATGACTCCTTACATTCGAAAGCTTAGAGAAAGACAGTTCAAAATTAAACTTTTGAAAAACATGGTATTTCTAAAAAGAAGATCTTATTTAACTAAACAACACTTTATTTTACTAAATTTTTAAGTTTCATAAATCTGAGTAAATAATGATACTGGGTGACAATCTTTGAGGTACCATTTGCAAAAATTTTAAGAAGCTAGAAGGCCTCATTTTTATGAGCAAATTATAGTGTAAAAAATGGAAAATGCTTAAGCAATTTAAGTCAGTGTTAAAGAATTATAGATTTTTCTATCTAAAGACTTGCAGATAAGAAATAGAGACAAGACCCTGTACTCATTTTCTATTTTCAACCTATAAACTTTAAGGATGATTTTCTCAAATTTTTCTTAGAACCTTCATCTCTTCATTTATGTGTTTCATATTCATTTCATTTTAGGATGACTTGATGACTAAGCTTTTTGACGATTCTGTGGAAGTCAAGGAAAAGGCACTGAAATGTGAAGGAGATTTGGAGAGCATAAAACAAATGTTAAATGATCAAAGTAATCGACTCATTTTATTTACATTTTATAATGGAAAGTAGTCTTAAAATATTTTTCGGATAATTTTTTGGAAATCAATTATTCTTAAATTTGTTTTATTTTATTCATTACTTTCATTTATATTATAATCGATTACTTTAAATTATGCAATCTTGATCCTTGATTAGTATATAATATGTATTTTTATGTAATTTTGTTATCTTCAGCAACTATTTAGCTTCAATTTCTATTATTGCTTAAAGCTGAACTGACAAAAAAATTTTGCTTAATATGCAATTGTCTTATGGTAAAGGGGAAATATTTTAAACCAGAATGAATAAAAGTGTGAATCCAAAAAATCTTTTATGTGGAAATAACCTTCTATCAAATTTGAGAACATTTAAAAGAAATAAACATTAAAAAAAAGTAATAACTTTATCGGAAAAAATGATTTCAGTTCATTTCATATAAGTTTGCCCTTTCTCTATCATTTTAGTCAAATAATTGTAATTACTAGGGCGTTTTCAAGAACAGCACTGCAATTCCAGTTATATTTTGAAATGACCTTAAAATTATTCCCAGGGAAGACAAGATTCTTCTATCCAGAATTGAGTGTGGGTCAGCAAATTTGTAACCAGACACACTTTCAGTATGTGTGAAATCTTGAAATTATCAGCTAAAATTCTTNTTTTTTTTTGGTTTTTTACTGCAAGTAAATGTTTCAAATGTTTTCAAAACTGACTTTAAAAAAAAAGAAATTCAAGGAACTATGTTATTGCAAATATTTATAAGGAACTGCAATGGCTCAGGAGATAGAGCAACCACCTCCTAATGCAGTGTTTCCCAAAGTGTGGTACGCGTACCCCCAGGGGTACGGGAACAGTTTAGCGGGGGTACGCGTTCTTATGCGAAATATCGTGCAACAAGCGAAAATTTCAAAAAAATTTATTTAAAAATAAAGCTAGCCATGAAAATTTACGGTTACTTATTTTTCTATTGGGTATTTTTTGCAGAGTTAACAGTTAATAATTAGTGGCATCAACAGCCAGTTGTGATTTTTAACTTTTGTGCAATTATTTTATAGTAAAAAATAAATTCATTTTTTTATTAGTGGTACGCAGCGTTACGAAAAATTTAGAAATGGTACACAAAAGTCATAAGTTTGGGAAACACTGTCCTAATGAGATGACCCAGGTTTGATTCCCAGTGGTGTCTGATTGATACGAATTTCCTCTCTGGCTCACATCAACCAAAGTGCTCTACATCATCAGTGGTAGATGGATAATTGGTTAGAATCTCCTCGCTGTTGAGCTATCTGTGGTTTTTTTCTCCAAGTAACGCAAATGCTGGTTAATTCCATCAAAAAACTTCCATGAAGGCTAGTTTGTCCCTATGCTTTTTCCAGGAGTTTCCTTGTCTTCTGGGCTGGGTTCAAAATTACAAGGCTACGGAATTGAAACCTGTAGATTCAGAAATTGCTTCAGATGATCAATGCCAGTTATAAAAGTATTAAACATTTAGAAGAAAAATTATATAAAAAAATTTATAAGAAAAATTATGTTCTTGCAAACATTTATGAAAAATAATGATAAAACAGTTATTAAAATTATTCGATTGCATTATCTGAAAATCCTATTTCTTTTATGTTAAAAGTATAAAAAAAAGTAACTGTGTTTGCAGGGGTGCTACGCCTGCGCCATTTGCGACAAACTGAGACAAAACGGCATAACTGCGCCATTTTGCGAACGTCCAAAATTTGACAAACCTGAATTCAGTTTCAAATATTAATCCGCATCGCCGTGAGTCATTGGAGAGCATTTTGCCGTTCACGCCTCCTAAATACGTCATTTAAATGTCAGAAATTCCGTTTGGCAAATCAGCTATTGGAATGCATATAGAATATGCGTTTCGTGTCTACAATTGGATTATGTACAGCAGTGAGTAGCAATCAGTATCGTATGCACGTGATCTTGTAAAAAAAGAGGGTATTCTTCCCTTATACTATTGGTTATTATCTTGCTTTTTTTTCTTAGGAAACTGTACAGTGCACATAATTATTCAGGGATGAAAGACTTCCGCGAAAAAGAATCCGCTTTTTTTCTGTCAATTTTTAAAATTTCCGACCATGTTCCAAAAACTAAAATTTTTAGGGAGTCCAATTAGAGAAACCCAAGCCGCCGGAACGATAGTCGGATTACCGCGACTTCCGCTATAGAGTGGAAAGGAGTCTAAGCGTTTAGTTTCGACCGCCGATGTTTGATTTTTTTTTTGTTTGACTGATTTTCGGAATTTTAAATATTAGGAACTGCTCTGGAATATGCTAAAATCGCGATTTTTAATCAGACGATTTTAATATCAATCATCGATTTTCGTATTTAACTGATTTAAAACTAACGTGTTGCGATTTTTTTTACGCTATTTTAAAATCGTACTAGCAATTCCTATTCACTCAATGTAAAAATTCAATATCGCGATCTGTATTCTCACGAGTTTAAAATCCAACGTCGCGATTCGTATTCACGCATTTTTAAATCAAATATTGCGATTCGTTATCACGCAGTTGTAATGGAAAATTTTACAGCGGCCTAGGCCTATAGGCCCATTCGCCGAATACAATAGAACATCAATTTTTTTATTTGACAATTGTAATATCAGATCTCGTTTTTCGTATTTGTACGCTATTTAAAAATGACTCATTGCGATTCGTATTCACGTGATCTAAAAATTATGCATCGTGATTCTTATTTACGCGATTTAAAAATTCAATATCGCTATTTGTATTTTCGCGTTTTTAAAATCCAACAGCGCGATTCTTATTTACGTGATTTTAAAACTCAAAATCAGGATTCATATTCACGCGATTTTAAAATTCAACCACACGATTCATATTCACGCGATTTTAAAATCCAAAATCGCGATTCATATTCACGCTATTTTAAAATCCAATATCGTGATTCATATTCACACGATTTTGAAATCCAATATCGTGATTCATATTTACACGATTTTGAAATCCAATATCGTGATTCATATTCACGCGATTTTAAAATCCAATGCCGCGATTCATATTCATGCGATTTTAAAACCCAATATCGCAATTCATATACACGCAATTTTAAAATCCAGTATCACGATTCTAGAAAGAAGTAGANAAAATCCAATATCGTGATTCATATTCACGCGATTTTAAAATCCAATGCCGCTATTCATATTCACGCGATTTTAAAACCCAATATCGCAATTCATATACACGCAATTTTAAAATCCAGTATCACGATTCTAGAAAGAAGTAGAATTAGGTTTTTTCTTGAATTAGTTACTGTAAAGATGTGATATATTTTTCTACAGTTGTTGCATTTAAACAATTACTAAGTGCATTCATAATTACATTTTATGACAGTATATTTAGCTATATAAATTAAAAGAACATAGTCAACTAACTGATCTTGTGAATGCAAGAAAGTACAATTTACTAGTCAATTTACTAGCCAATTATCTAAAAAGTTTACTTTTATACTTAATAAAAGATGCAAGTCATTTTAGAAAGAAAAGTATATTTATATGTGTCTTTTTAAATTGTTTATAATAGTTTTTATGTATTTCTGTTTTGATATAAAAATGTACATATGCTAATTTTTGGCTATTAAGTGCTCCCTAAAAGTTTCTTGAAAAATTCCTACCTAAAATATTTCAAAATTTCACTGCACCTCCTAAATTCTGTCAAAGAGTGGGGTTTTTTTGTGTTATTTACATTTTCTTAAACTCTCATTATTTAATTACTGAATTTCTCTTTTAATTATTGAAATCTGTAGACCTTCCATTGTAACTGAATAGTTATATATTTTGAGATGAAATTTGAGCTGAAAATAAAATGGATATTTTCCCTTTTGAATTACCAAAACTAAATAGATATTTCTTTTTAGAAAGGTTCTTATAATCAATCATATGCAGGTTTTTTAAAATCCTAGCAATAGTGAATGTATTGTATGAGTACTCCTAGTATGCTATTAATGGTTTTATGGATCCTGAAAATTATCTTTATATTGTTATCAAACTGATTAATAGTCATTTTAGCTGAGATAAACTGAGTCAAAAAATAATTTTAGCTGAGACAAACTGAGCCAAAAAGAGATTTTAACTGAGACGAAATGCAATTTCTGGTGAGACAATTTGATATTTTGCGAGTAACACCCCTGTGTTTGCAATGTTTATTTTAGAACTCTAATAAGTATGGTAAACTTATTAAATGAATTTATTGAATATGGTAAACTTATTATATATATTTATTGAATATGAATTGTTAATAATTACTATGAAATTGCTGTAGAAGATCCAGAGCTTATTAATGATGCTTGTAGCAGATTGTTGGAAGAGGAGAATGAAGTTCTTGGAGATACAAACATTTATAAGATTAGAACCCTAGAAATAGCATTTGATACTTGTATAAAACTACAAGCATGGGACAAAGCTATTACTTTGGCTTCTTGTTTGGAAGAACCATTAAGGTAAAATAATGTTAAGCTTTTTGTTATAATCTTATGTTTGGCTTTTAGAGTACCTCCGTAAGTTGTTTGCATTGTTTTTGTGGACAACAATTGGTTAACTTGTAAAATGGTATAAGTTATAATTTATTTTATCCTTTCTTGTATCATGTTATAATTATATGTATCACATTGTTCATATATTTCTTATAACATGTAACCAATCAAAATAAAGATAAATGTAATTGATGTTTTTTAACTTTATTTTGAAATTTTTATTTATTAACTATCCCATATAACTTAAGAGAAGAGATTAATTTCAGAATGAATTACTATCTGTAACATAAATTTAATATTAAACTGTTTAGTTTGATAAAACTATACATATATATTTTGTTAATAATGTATAATATTTATTCATTATAAATAATTTTTAGAATTCGAATAATTTATTCATTATGAAAAATATGCATACATAGAAACATATTCAATTAAAAAATACTTAAATTAATTTTAAAACTTAAAACTAGTTATGTTACGCTCACAAACCCATTCGTTACAAAAGTCTTTCGTAAATTTCCCATATGGTCAACTCACCAAGTTTAGGTGAGCTTTTAACACAATTTAGTGAAATTTTAGTAGATAACATACTAGGATAGAAAATTTCTGGGGGAAAAAGTACATTTTTCTGGTCAACTTACAATATAGGCAGGCAATGAAACTAAAAAAGTTATTGCTTCATTTTATTATTTGTTCAACTCTGCAAATTTCACTATTATGTCACTTTTTGATCACCCCTAGTGAAATATTGTTTTTAAGTAACAAGCTGCTAAAGTGACAGATTTTTAAAAACAGGTTTCATTCACAAATAAATAAATTGATGAAACAAAATAAGCAAATATATATTTCTCAATAATTCATTGTAAAAAAAATTTATCTCATTTTGTCATGTTAGGGAAGATGTTTAATGATGGTATTCAAAACACCTTTAATAAACATTATTGATGTTATCTTTCCTGTGTAAAGTAATGCTTATTCTACTTTGTGAATCCTGAGCTTGAATCCTAATTACAAAAAAAGGTGGTCCTTTAGCTGGTTACCAGACAAAAAATTCCTGCTCTAAAATAATTACCAAGTTTGTATCTTAAAATGAATTCATTTTCAGCAATTGTAAAAAATATATACTATTTCAAACTTGCAATTATTTTTTAAATTATCAATTTCATTTATTTATTTGAATTAAACATAAAGTCTCAGAAAGAAATATCTTGGGAACTGTTGACTCATTGATAACATATTGCTGATATAATTAAGGCTGGCAATTTTTGTCAAGCTTCATTGGGTGTGCGGCTGACACTAAAAAGCCCGGTATACCAACCAGGCTTTTTATTTTGATTTGGTAATCATAATTCACTAAGAAGCCCGTATTTTTAACTTTAGGTTATACTTTGGGACTCATCATCCTAGTTTAGGAATTTTCTTATTCAAATATGGAAAAATTTTACACTTTAAAGAATTTTCTAATGTAGCTGTAACTAAACTATCTGAAGTAAGTGTCCTTTTTATTACAGTTCAATTTTATTAAAATTGTGATTTCTGTAATGTTTCTAACATATTAAAACTGTACTAAGTATCTTTACATTATAATTTTTCAAAATTGTTTAAATCATACTTGCACTTTTAAGTGTTCAATTCTCATTCTGAAAATAAATTTATATTTTTCAATATTTGATGAATAATTATTTTAAGTTTTCTCTTTTGTATAACTTAGTCTTTTTATGTTGATATAATTAATTTTGCTGAGGTGGATTGTAAGAATTGTGGGTAAATAGTAATTTAATTTTTAGGCAGAAAATGTATTCAAAATTACTCATGGAGAACATCATCCACTGACTAAAGAACTCGAAAGCATTTTACATGATGCAAAGCTTTCATCTGTGTTTATTGATTCCAAAAAAGAATTGAAATGCATTAAACTCTAAATATTATAAACTGTAAATACTTTTTATACATCATTTATGTAAATCATTGTATTCCGTCATCTAAATTAAGAGTGTCGATAATTTTACCATTGTATGTTTTATATATTAATTATTTATGTCATCTCTGGGATATTCCATTAAACACTTTTTAAGAAGGAGATATTTTAATATTGGTTCCTAAAATTCTGAAACTTTAGTTTTTTGCTCTAAAGATATTGTAACAAATATATTTTGATTTCTTGCTATTGTTTTCCAAGGTTCCTTATAATTTAATGTATTATATTTTGTAATACTACTTTAAGTAGAAAGAACTGTTTAATAATAAAAGAATCATATTTAGATTAAAATTACTACAGTCTCAGTAAAATTGATTCATTGTTCTATCATAATACAGTACATGGAACCAGAATGTGCTGCAATTTTGTTCAAGTTGTTGATTGGACCACATTTTTGTTCAAGTTGAAAGCGTATGGAGTTTCAATAGAGGCATTTTGATGGTATCCCATACCCCAGTACTTAACACTGTTTTTTGAAGCTCCGAGGAAAATAAAAAAGCCATCGTTTGGGTGCCTTACACTTGAAGCAATACAATGATTTTAAGCTACATATATAATCTTATGGTGAAAAATTATCTGGGCTTTAGAACTGACAGATAATTTGAATATTTTAAAGGTTATTAAACTTTTTTTAAAAATTGCTAATTTGGTGACATTTTTCCACCTAGATGAAAAATTATCAAAACCACTGCCTTATTTTCAGTGTTTGCAAATTTTTATGAGCCCAGGTAATGCAACATTAGAGTATGTTTTTAAATATTCAAAAATTAGACCCCAAATGCTTTTCATTTTACAAAACTATGACTTTTCTCCATATTGACGTTTTGCGCCATTTGCAAAATAAGCGTAAACAGCGCTGGCTTTAAATAGGCTAAACTTGACCTAACAGTCATGAGTAACAGTTGCAAACACTCAGCAGTTATAAAAATAGCATATTAATCGCAGAAAAGCATCATTTCATAATACGTGGAGCCTTTGAGAAACAGCCTAATAATTATAGTTTTTTAAACTGTTTTTCATTTATAAAAAGTGAATAAAACTTAAGTTGTAAGAAATTTATTTCAAAAATGTTATGTAATAGAAAATTGATTGGCAAAATTGCCATAAAGGGCTCTGAAATCTTAAAATATAATTAGCTTCCTATATTTTTTACGCACATATATTTTATGGTTTTATTGTTCCATTAGAAAAATACTTACATGGACACGCATGTGGAGTGTGTCATATTCCAAATTTCAAGAAGGCTTGTGAAATATACAAGCTAGTGGTAACTGAGTACCTCTTCTGTTCGTTAAAGTCTAATAGAGACTTAGATAAGGATTTCCCAATTTTTTTATTATTTTTTTTTTTTGTGTTAATTGCATTCTATGAATCTTCTGCTTTGGTATGAAGATTAAATATTGTGCTAATGATTCAACTTGTTACCTTATTAAAATTGCAGAAAATAGGAATGATGATATAGTTTAACATGGCATGAAATTTGTAAGTGTGTAGCACGATTAAATTCCGCTCTTAGGATACTATTTTGTACCATTTTTAAAAACTTCAGTTCCTATAATTCATTTTAATCCACTTTTCATATGCCTTCCAATTTAAAACCTTCATTCTACCCAGTTAAAAATGAAATCTATTTATGAAATGGAGAAGTTGCATCTTTACTTATATAAGATTGCGAAAGGTAATTTTATATGTTTAAAATGCTAATTGCTTTTAAGTAATTAGCTATCATCTTTTTATGTAAGTGTTAACATGGATATTTTAAGCTAGGCATTTTTAATCTATTATTGCCCACTGTTCTCTTTTAGGTACAGGTATAAATCATAGAAGTTATTATTATTATTGACAAAAAAAATAAACTTTCATTATTCTAAGAACTCTTTTAAATGTTATGAATTATGTTGATTGAATAAATTTTTTTTCTGAATATTAATCTACAGTAGTGTTTTGCAATGTTCAGAAGAAATTTTTTCATGTTGTATTATTTTTTATTAATTGATTTGTGTTCAATAAACATAATTGTACAAATGTTTTTGACTTTTTCATGTGAAACAAAATGTTTTTTGGCAGGAATCGTTTTCAAGTTGATTTTATAATGTTTACCGTTCTTATACAAAATATCCTGAGAGGTACAAAGCCTCAATGCCTTTACTTGCTTATTGTAGCATTATTTTTATTTTTTTACTTAAATAATTTTTTTAAAAATATGAGATTGTGTCAATTTGATGCTACTCACTTCTTAAATAATTTATTAAAGAATCTAATTATAAATTTGGTAACTACTCATAAACATCTGCTGTAAAATTTTAAGTGTAATGAAAATGGATATTGTGAAAGAAAACTATGCTGTCAAACCTTGCTATCTAAAAATTTTGAGTGATCAATGTTGTTTATGTTTTTTTTTTAACATATGATTCATAGAAACATCTAGTAAAAAAATTTTTATAAATTTTACTTACTTGTAGTTTTATTGAAATCTACATAAATTATGCAATCAAAACTGCATTTTTAGAATTCAGAACTTTCAAAAATGTTTTAGATCACATTATTTACACATGATGTTAAACATAATTAGGTATAATTGCTAACACTAATATATAAAACTGATATTTTATGGATTTAATATATATCAAATATATGTACGCTCGTTGGCTGAGTGGTAGCGCTTCGCACTGTCGTGCTACAGGTCCCTGGTTCGATCCTCGGGCCGGGCAAGGTTGACCCAAACTTTCATTCCTTCCGTGGGTCGATAAATGAGTACCAAGCATGCTTGGGAACTAAACACTGGGGGTTCCACGTTTGGCTGACCACCTGATCGGAACCTCTGCTCTTGCACCCCAGAGCCCAAGGTCAAGAAAACTGAGATGGGCACAGTAGGCCTTGGCCCTCTATGAGCTGTCGCACCACTGAGTTTAGTTTTAATATATGTCAAAAAACTTTCTCTTCTTTAAAAATTCTTAATATTGTGCCAAAAAAATTTAATTTACAATATCTGTGCTTTAATTAACTGTTAAATGTGCTAGCTAAACAATTGTGCAAAACTTTTAAGTCTTTGTGAAGTGGTAACTTTTTTTCTAAATATTTTGCATAAATGTTGTGTGCTAACAATATATCTTCTGCATAAAATTCAAACATGCATAATTTTATTAACCTCTTTGGTTTAAAAATACTGTCATCAACTCTCTCAATAGTTAAAAGGTATTAGAGCTTCAAAAACTGTTTAAATCAACTTGTAGCAGGACCAACTAAAGTGATAACACATATTCCCAATGGTGTGTAGAATAGAACTGTTATGTTTAACAACATTTAGGCCACAATTGAAATTCAATTTAGAACAAGCAGGTCTTTTTTTGATCTGTACAGTTGAAAAAAGCATGAAAGAAACCAGCAAAATATTTTTCTAAATTATATGAATTTTGTTACATTTAAATACTTTCACTAATCTAGTATGAATGGACTGTGATCATTCTATAGTTTGTTGAATTTTATTGTCAATTTATTAAATGTCTTAGCAATTTAAATGTACAGTAATAAATAATATTTGAAAAATAAATATGTGTATTAATAAGAGCATTCTATACTCTTTATCATAAAAAATCTTGTTCACTTGAATTTTAAATGCTCCAATTTTGATATGAAGTCTTATTGGCACAATTTATTTCATTGATTTTAATGATAAAGAAATATCAAACGTATTAGGTGTAAAGGGATTTTGATATAAGTTAATGTCTGGGCACAAAAACTTTCAAAATTAATAAATAATTTTTGAGACTATAGTTTCGGTCATAAAAATCACTTATCATAATTCTGTTGTCTAAATAAGTGCATTAAGCTTTTTTTTTTATTGAACTATAATTTCTGCAACTATGACAATAACTTTACCAGTAAAGTAAAACATTCCTGCAACAGCCCTGTCAGGCACCATTGTGCACTGACCACCTTTACTCCCTAGACAAGCTTATATACTTCAGTCAGAAGGGTGGGCTTCAAACCGTTACCAGGGATAGAACCCCAACATTTCAGAATGCAGTTACTTATACAGTGGTGCCATTTCTCTCTAATCAGATGTTTATTCTTTTTTTAAAACCTTTCCATCTTCAAAAATCAGAACTGCACGCTAAGGCAAACATTCCAATTTTAAAAAGCAATGCAGCTCTTGTCTTTATAAAGAGAAAATAGAATTGTTAACTAAGTTTAAAATATCAATGTGTTATTTATTGAATAATTCATTTTTTTTTTTTAAATTCATGCACAGAATGTTTGAATTTTATAATTCGAAGACCCTATTATCTTTTATCAAAACCAGTCATAAAATTATGCAATTTTATGGATTACTCTTCAAAGAAAAAACTAGTTGTTATATCATATTGTAAACCTATTATGCTAGTTTTAAATCTTAGATCCTCAAGTCTCAAACCAAACAATTTTGACTTTGAATGATGGATTCTAAGAGCTATCTTTAAAACAGTTATTCAACATACTATCTTGTTATTTCAGAAAGAAGTTGAAAAATATATTGTGGAAAATATTTGGTGGTATCTAAAACTAAACTACTACTCTAATAAGTGTGATGCTAACCTCTCCAACCTAATTTACATTTTTCTGAAGTCTTCCACAAGATAAATTTTAATAGACTGGCTTTGGCTGTAGACAATTTAAGCCGAACTTTTAAATCTTCATTTTAATTTGTAAACAACATTTTTTTAAGCATATATTTTTGCTTATTTGCCACTATTTACATTTACATATTTTTACAATTTTAGCCGCGTGACAGAATTTTGAGTATGATACTGAGTCCATCTATTATTGGTTCTAGCTCAAAAATTCTCTTATGTTTTGTTATAATTGTTGTATTTAAGTAAATGTTGGGTAGTTTTCAATGGGTCTGATAAGTTTGAAATTTATTATAATTCTTATTTTTAATCATTAAATGAATACTCATTATATATTTATTAAAATCTATAGTTTTTATTGTATAAATAAGTGGAAGACGGCTCATCATAAGTAAAGAATAATGTGTATTCGCCCTAGCATGTACTTTCATCTATTTTAATTGAAAAATTCTGATTTTAAATTTTCATAAAAATGTTCACATTTTAAGAATAAGCTAAAGCACATTTTTTTCCAATTGGAGACTTTTTAATTGATTTTGCCTAGCATTTCTATCTTAGTTTTTAAAACATCTTCCCCAACCTTAATCTTCATCCAGTGCACTGTTCAAAACCTTATCATCGGTGATTCCTCCTTTTACTCAAACTAATTCCAAAATGTAACTCTTTTTAAAAGTGAGGAAAATTTAAAAGTTAGAACACTAGAAAAATTCGCTTTAAGAAGACAACCATTTTATTACAGAGAAAAATTCTCTTGTCTATTGTATTTACAATTGCTGGACCTCATTTAACAAATCCTGGTTCAACAAGGAAATTTTGTACATAGTTGGTTTCTCGTTCTAATGTTGAATTAACGTTTCTAAATAAGCTTTAGACATAATTGTTATTAATAATAAAGTAGCTCAATTCTCTTATGAAATTCTTTTGTCTTCTTCTGATAAAGCACATCCTAGTACCCAATGGCCACTATTTACTGAAACGTTATCACCCACAGTATAGGTTTCTTTCAGATTCAGTAAATGTTTTTTTTTTTAAATATTTTAGAAACATGGTCATTATATGAGACTGCCTTTCACATTTGAACTCGTTTTGACTTACAATTTGACTTACAATAAAATTTTATTAAGGAAAAATATTTCCTAAAATTAAGAGTCAAAAAAAAAATAATTGACTAAAAGAGGTCTATATTAGAGTCGTGTATATGCTTATGATAACACACATTTAGTTTCATTAACTTTTACATACTTTAAAACAACTTAGAAATTAATGAAAAACTCTCATCCTTGTTTACAATTTGTAACTTTATTCAACATGTTTACAAATTATTTTACTTTAATAAAAAGTCAAGACATAAAATATATACAAAACAAATGTTTAGAAAATTCTTTTCTAATTATGAAATCCCGAAAAAAGACAATAACTGGAATAAAAATTTTTATTGACCTTTTTAAAAATGTATTTTTGCGATTATAAAATATTTTGAAGAAAAAAATATGGAAATTAAAAATACTTATAAGAATAGATGCACTCATTTTATAAACAGCTAATCATTTAATGCTAATAAAATATAATATGTATTGGCTGCTATTTCAGTATCTTAACAATACAAGAGGCACATTAATGTATAACATTATTAGAACACTTAACAGGCAAATTTAAATTCACAACTTTGATTTGAAACATAAAAAATATTTTCAGTTACTTGAAGCACCAATAATCAGCTTTAACACACAACATACGTACTTTAAACATATCTATAAAATAATTATTATTCATTTCAATAATATAATATTGCAGTTGAATTAGACTGCAGCCGACTACAAAAATCTTCCCACAAATAAAACATAACTGTTTGCTAAATATACAAATTATTACCTAATAAACCTAAATTTCAAAAAAATAAAATCAAGAATGTTAACAGAAAAAAATAAAATTATATAGATTTTCAAAAACTTGTTTTTGACTTCAAATATTTGTAAGCAATTTAATACTTTTGATATAGTATTTAAAGACAGAATAATGAAATGATTTTAAGAAATATTACTGAGTTGCGATGACTCAGTGGCTAAAAGCTCTCATTGCATAGGATGAGACTAGCCAAATTATTTTAAACTATTATTTGTTATTTAAACCAATTTCAAATTATATGCTTGCTTCTGTAAATTCCAGTTTTTATGATTAAACATTTCAATGAAATAGGGGAACACAAACAAAATATGAAATTCACGAATGATTTAAAACAGTAAAATTCCAAAATTATAAATAATAAATGCAACAATGAAAGGTATTAAAAAATTGCTGAACTTAAAGCAGCCATAACGCAAATAGAAGTAAAATTAGCAATGTATTAACAATTTCCTAATTATAATAAGAAATCATAATCACTTATAGACACAAATTCACAGTAATGTAAATATGTATTAAATTGCCTCTTTTTTCTTTAAAACGCATAAAATCAAACATTTAATAATATAACAAATAAATATTGCTATCTTTGGCACCTAGCCTTCTTCTATATATGTATTCTGACACAAAAACATATGTTACAGATTATGAAAAAAAAAATTATTTTTTTTGGCATAAATACAAAAACCAAACATTTAAATACAATTTCTAGCATATTTTTTCTGACATTTATTGAAAAACAAGACATGAAACTAATTAGTCATAAAATAAAGATACAGTTGAATCTCGTAAACATACTTAACCTGAATTTGTTTTAATATGAACTAGTATTCAAAATTGTACGCAGATACAATGTTTTTAAACACTTATACAATGAATACACTTAATGTAAAATATCTTTCTAGGGGAACTTAGCTTTAAATGTGATCAGAAAATTTATATTCACTCAGATAATAAAATTCAGTAAGAAAATTAATAATTCTATTAAGTATTTCTGAAAAATATTCCCTTTGTTAGAGTAATAATACCAAACAATGTGCAAATGGTTTTTGGAACCAATTTGTTGGAAAGGCTGAACCAACATTCTTATCTAACAGGATAAGTTCTTTTGGTGCTTTTAATATGAATAGTCTTCTTTAGCCAGTGTTAGGATAATTTCATGTAAATGTTTTCTCAAAAAACTTCCATATCCTTGGATAAATATGTCATCAGAATTCTTCACACATGGGTTATTCAGAGAAATCTCTAGTACTAATTCACACATTTCTTTAAAAAAAAATATGAAATTTTTTATCTTCATATGAATTTTATAAATGAATAATGTGGTTTGGCAGTCAGCATTTATTTGTGTAAAATGAACAACACATTTTTTTTTAACTTTTTGATTTTAAATCCAATTTTTCCTTTTCAAGTTATAAATGATTTAAAATTGTGATAAAAATACTTTTTTTTTTATTGACATAAAATATAAATTATTCTACATACTTGAAAAAGTTATTTCCATTTTAAAACTATGTTATATATTGTCAATATCAAATTTTTGTGTATTAAACAATTTTTATGAAAAAAAAAGCATCTAAATTTATAAAGTGGACTGCTTTAATCATGAAAAATTTTTATGTATCCCTACAAGTTGACATTAATGAGATTCAACTGTATTTATTTAAAACAACTATTGAAGTAGAAAAATTATAAAATTAGCATAATTTGATAACTTTATAATTCTCTGGTACTAACACAAAGACAAATGGCACCAAAATACAATATTTTAAAGTTATAGAATTAAAACTTTAAAAAAAGAAATATAAAGTGTTAGAATTGCAATCATATTGTTACTATAATTTTTAATTATATTGCACATTAGAAATATCTGAATTTCCTAATTCAGATTTATTATAACACCACAAATATTAAACATCATCAGGTACATAAATGTCATTATCTTTGGTTCATGCGGAAAGTTTCCAGCTATCACATATATACAATTAACACACTTTTGAATTGATCAGTACAGTGTCTGCTCATTTATATGAGCTAGTTTAATTTGATCAAATAACCTGTCACAAAAATATCATGATTCTACAAAGTAGAAATGCTCCTGTCAGCTTGTGAAATCATAATATTTTATCACATAAATTATTTTCATTCAAACCATAACATCACCTCAGATGGCTCTTTTTTCAGAAATAAGATGCAAATATTTGATCATATAATATAAATATGTTTTGATTACCTCAAATAACATTTCTATTTTAGTTTGATCAAATAACTTTAACACATGCTTAAACAGGCTACAAAAATGTTACCATGATTCAAGGAGCTAACAAAGTCAAGAAAAAAGAATGTCCAATGAACCATTGTTAGATTTCTTATCACAAATTTATATTTCTTCTAACAATAACATACACTTACCAGGTGGTTTATCTTAAAACAAATAAAAAGATGCAAATATTTGATCAAGTAACACATACAAATGTTATTTCTATTCTAATTTGATCAAATAAGTTTAACTTACACTTAAATCTATCACAAAAAAGTTCTAATGATTCAATATGCTAACAATGTCAATATTAGCTTGTCCGATCATCATAATTTTTTATAACAAAATAATGATTGTTTGGAGAAAAAAAACATAAACTCACAGAGTGGCTTGTCTTTCACAAAAAAGATGCAAATATTATACACATAAATACACTACATTTATTCAAATAACATAGTCTTTCATGAAGCTACTCATACATCTTATAAAAAAAAATCAAAGCTGCTAGAAAAATTAAAAAGTATAAATTACAACAAACACATTATAAAAATTTAGATTCTGTAGCATGAGATTCTGCAAAATGAGATATTTTTCAGATTTAATAGTTAATAACTAAACTAATGATTTATAATACAATGAAGAAGCTAAAAACTTACAATGGTTGTTTACCTTATATTGGTTTTACAAATGACTTTTGTCTGTGCAGTATAATTTGTTATTTATATTCCTAATTATAAAAATGACACACAACTATATTTACACAGACATGTTGCTTTCAACCTAGTAAATGTTCAGAAAATAACTGTTAATCCTGAGATCTTTAAATGTGCACAAATACTGACAAAACAAATACAGTTCCATTCAAACGTTATTTGAATCTGAATCACTATCAGAATCTGTTGATATGCTGGTAGATTCTTCATATTCATAATCCAAACAAAGATATTCCTATAATAAAAAGCATAATCAACAAATGAGCATGGCAAAAAATATAGGCAATCAGTCAAGTGCTGTAAAAAAAAAAACTATATACAGTAGTGGCCAAAAGTGTGGACATTTTTTGAAAGTTTCATGTTTTTCAACTTTGTGTGCTTGTAGAATATATTAATTTTCACTTAAATACAAACGTTTATATATCAAATTGAAGGTAATTTAATGTAGAATTTAATAATAAATACAGTATTACAATATCTGTATTACAAAAAAAGTTATGCAACTAATAGTAAGATCTATCTTAGATTTGCATTTTTTTAAAGTGATACTTACACAATCAATACTTAGTAGGATAACCCTTATTTTTTAAGACAGCTTCACAGCGTCTTTTCATCGAGTGAACGAGTGTTTGGAGTTCATCTTTCGTAATCACATGGTGCCAAGAATCAATTATAGCTTCACTTAGTTGTCTTTTATTGGATGGACGTTTTTTTCGTACAAGAATTTTCAAACTTCGCCACAAATTTTCAATTGGATTGAGATCAGGGCTGTTTCCTGGCCATGGTAATATATCTATGAATTTATTTTGAAAGCATGCTTTGCATACTTTTGCTGTGTGGCATGGAGCTGAATCCTGCTGAAAAATAAATGGTTCGTTGTTGGGGAAGAGATCCCTGATGGAAGGTATCAATTTTGGTTTCAGGACAGTTTCGATGTATTTTTTGGCATTCAGGATGCCAAATCAGGCCGAAAAAAATGCACAAGTGCTACTACCGATAGAAAAATTAAATGGCTATGCCTTCAAGATAGAAAAATGTCATCAGATGCCATTAGATGTGAAATGAATGCAGCTGGTATTGCAGTAAGTTCAAGAACAATAAGAAGAAGGTTATCAGGATTTGGACTACAAGCTAGAATTCCAAGGAAAAAACCATATTTAAATCAAAAGCAACGCGAAAAATGAGTTAAGTGGGCAAAAGAACACATTAAATTAAATGGTCAGAAAATCAATGGAAGCAAGTAATCTGGAGTGATGAGAGTAAAATATCGCTCTTTGGTAGTGATGGTAGAAAATAATGGAGACGTAGAGTAGGTGAAGCACTTCATCCTGATTGCATTCAACTACAAAAAACCCAACAAATGTCATGATTTGGCCATGTATGTCTGCAGATGGTGTGGGCCGAATTCAGGTGATTGATGGCATCCTGAATGCCAACAAATACATCGAAACTGTCCTGAAACCAAAATTGATACCTTCCATCAGGGATCTCTTCCCCAACAACGCATCATTTATTTTTCAGCAGGATTCAGATCCATGCCACACAGCAAAAGTATGCAAAGTATGGTTTCAAAATAAAGGCAGAGATATATTACCATGTCCAGGAAACAGCCCTGATCTCAATCCAATTAAAATTTGTGGCGACGTTTGAAAATTCTCGTATGAAAAAAACCTCCATCCAATAAAAGACAACTTATTGAAGCTATAATTGGTTCTTGGCACTATGTGATTACGAAAGATGAACTCCAAACACTCATTCGCTCGATGAAAAGACGCTGTGACGCTGTCTTAAATAAGGGTTATCCTACTAAGTATTGATTGTGTAAGTATTACTTTAAAAAAATGCAAATCTAAGATAGATCTTACTATTAGTTGCATAACCTTTTTTTGTAATACAGATATTGTAATATTGTATTTATTATTAAATTTTACATTAAATTACCTTCAATTTGATATATAAACGTTTGTATTTAAGTGAAAATTAACATTCTACAAACACACAAAGTTGAAAAACGTGAAACTTTCAAAAAATGTCCACACTTTTGGCCACCACTGTATGTATGTATATATATATATATGTATTTCAAAAACAAATCTATGTCTTACTACTAAAAATATAGTCTTTTTTTTTAGTTTATTACTAATAAAATTTTCCATAGAGATTTTTTGTTTTTCCTTCTCCTTCTACAATCATTATCAAAAAGTTTTTATTCTTAATAACATCTATCGTGGTCTCTCATAAGATCACTTACAATTTAAAAGAAGTTTATACAAAAAAATAATAATAAAAAATTAAGAAAGATTTCAATAAACCTTAATGCACAGCACACACATTGAAGGTGCAAATTTAAATGACACTGGTACAAACAATGAAGTCACTCTAAGATTTTAAAAAATTTTGACAGCGAAACAAATCTGAATACCAGCAAATTACATCATTTCAATGTTCCATGTTATTATTTTCTTTATTCTATACATAATATTAAAACTCACCACATCAGATGATTTCAGGATTAATTGTTCCAATTTTCTGACTAAAATTGAAAATGTAGGTCTATCACCAGCATGTGCTCTCCAGCAATCTAACATTAGTGAATACCTGGAAATATTTCATTAGCAATCAAATTTCAATATTGAAATATATATTCAATGATCTCTGATGAATATACAGTGAACTCTCGCTACTACGATATCTGATACAACAATAACTCCCTCTATTAATATAATGTTTTGTGGTCCTTGCATATGAATTAATGTTAATCCTTTTTCTCAATATTGCAATATTCTCTGAAGCAATAAGCCTCTGCAAAAAAATTATTTTCAAATTTAAACTTTATTTTCCTCATTTATTATTAGTTTTCAAATAATGTAAAAAATGTCATTTTATCATATTTTGATTTTTTTCTTTTCATTCTTAACAGAATGCTGATTATCTTATTTCTTTTCACCACAGGGAATGGCTTTTCCCTCTACAACAATATATTTATTTGATCTCCAAAATATTGTTGTAGCGAGGTTTTACTGTATAAGAAATTAAAGGCAAATGTAACTAACACAAACGTGACAGTATGTTTTAAACAGTACAGGAAGATATTAATGCTTTTAATTCTTATATATATATATATAAATGCACTGCACAAAACAATTAAAGGATATTTTAAGTCTTGTATAAAAAAAAACAGTACAAGGAAATAAAATGTAGGATGACCATTAATTAAGACGATGGAAAAACCAATAAGGATGATACTCATTCTTTAATATTTAAGAAAAAGCTTTCACACAGACTTATTTTTGAATCACACAGGTTTGCTTATACATTTACACCGAAATAGTTCTAACATTTTAATTATGGGGGGAGCGACATATACTGGCATTAGTTGGTTTTCTCACAGAGGTAGTTTCATTTGTCACACACACATATATATATTTGGATAAAATTGAAGAAGATAGTCTCAAATACAAATTTGTCTTATTTTTAAATTTCGCAGTACGCAAATTTTGAGTTAGATTGAAGCTTTAGCAGCAGCGAATTTGATTTGGCTTTCAACTTGATATAAGACAAAGCGGAAAAGAATGAACGACATTCAGTAAGCACGTTGTTTCGATGAGTGTGATGTCGCAACAAAGTCATTTAACGAGATCAGATGCTTGGAGAGTTGTTACCCGGTTAGCCCAAACACAAGGCAAAGTAGCAGAAGCCATTGGAGTTTCACAAAGTGAGATTTTCAAGACCTGGAACCGTTTTTTTGGAGACTGAAAATGCAGGCCGAAGATCAGGGGAAGGGCGGAGATGTGCAACAATGCCGAATGAAGACCGTTATTTAGCACTAACGTTTCAGAGACACCCAAATATAAATTCCACTCTTCTTCGACAACACCTTCGCACGGCTACCGGCACCATAGTTTTGGCTGAAAGTAACCAAAACGGATTTCACGCTGTAGGTCTGTATGCTCATCAACCAATGGTGTGTGTCACCGTTGTGCCTGCAGAGAGTAAAAAACAGGGCATATGAACTGGAGGAGATACGAATGGCGCAATATTTTTTTCTCTAACAAGTCTTGTTTTTCTGTTCATTCTGATAATAGGCGTATTTTCATCTGGAGGGAACATGGCACAAGTAACAATCCTGCATTCGTGCACTAAAGTGTAAGATTTGGCAATGGAGGAGTGATGGTTTATGCTGGCATCTTCATTGATGGACACACCGATCTCCGTATCATTTGAAATGGAGCTCTGATCGGTTATAGGGATGAGACCTGAAACCTATTGAAATCTCTTACGCAGCAGCAATTAGATATGACTTCATGTTGATGGACGGCAATTGCAGGCCGTATCCTGCTAACTCAGAGAACGATTTCCTTTTGGAGGAAGGAATCAAATGAATGGATTGGCCAGCGTGTTATCCGGACATGAATCGAGCATGTTTGGGACATTCTAGGTAGACGAATTGCTGGACGCCTACCCCTCCCACAAACTCTCCAAGAGCTGGAAAGGGCTCTTCTGAAGGAGTGGGACAAAACACCACAACCCCATTATTAATAACCTCAACAAGTGTTCAACGTTACTGGCCGTCTAGGGAAACCATACACCCTACTAAAGCGATTTTCTTTTAATATATNATATATATATATATATATGCATGGCCCTTGCTAAGGACTTCAAATTATTAGCCAGTAAATTAGCCAAATATCATAAGTTTTAGCCAAATTTCGAAATTTTAAGTCTAAAGCAAATCTTAACAATTTTTTAGGATTGATTTTTTCCCATAGTAAACTTCTAATCAAAATACAAATTTGTTAAAAATAGAATTACGTTATAAAATGCAAACTCAAACTATGAGTAATTTTGTTGTGGGGGTGGAATAAATGAGCAATGAATCGGATAAAGTATGGAAAATGTAGATGGTGCGATTTAAAAATCTGATATCGTGATTTGTATTTACACGTTATTCACAAGTAACATCAAAAATCGATTTTCATAGATATACGTGATTTAAAAACATTTATATATTACACAAGCAATTTATATTTTTGCATTTTTAAAATCTAATATTGCGTCTCGTTCACGCGATTTTAAAATCCAATATTGCAGATTCTCGTTAGTTTTTTCCTGGAGTAGTTACTATAAAGAAGTGATGTTCTTCATTAGTGGATTATTTAATTATAAATGCTACATCAAAAATAAATAATTTATAAGTTTATATCTTGACATCGACTTCTTACACCAAAAGTATTTCAAGGTTTTTTACTTGGTGTCACAATTACCCCTGAAAATATCTTCAGTGGTAGACGAATTATGTGCCAATATTCTTTTGCCCATGGCTAATGGAAGATTTTTGTGGTTTTCATCTCCTTGTTAAACAAATGCGGATTCGTTCCAACAAAAAGTCCTCTACGAAAACTAGTTTGTCTTGATTCCCTTGTCTTCTAGTTCCCTAGTCTTCTGAGTTGGGTTCCAAATTACAAGGCTATAGAGTTGAACATTGATAGTCCTAAATTCAGAGGCGGTTATAAAATAAAATCATACATCTGCCAAAAATACAGTTTTTAAACTTACACTTCTATACTGCACCCAGTTGGTTTTTCTAGTCTTTGACCATTCTTCAAATAATCAAAGAGCCTCTCAGATGGAAGAGTGGGATAGGGTGATCCGCCAAGTGTCATTATTTCCCACATCAGAACTCCAAATGACCACCTATTGATGTTAAAACAATCATTCATTTATTAAAGCTTGAAAAATTCATAAACACCAGAATTTAATTTTTCCATCTACTTACACATCACTTTGGCAAGTGTATATTCTATCAATCAAAGATTCAATCGCCATCCATTTGATTGGAAGTAACCCCTGTTAAAAAAAACAAAAAGAAATTCAAAATTCTAAATATTTAAAAAAAATAACCTGAATTTCTAATAGTTTTGTTTCGACTGAGGATTAACCTAAATCCTTTATACAGGGTGTTTATAAAGTCCCAGATCCATTTTGATGTTTAATAACTCATAAAATAATAAAGATAGATTAAAATTAATAACATAAATGGTTAGATACACTCAAAAAGTTTCATAACCCTTGTCAATGAACTTCCACGCGTGCCCCCTACGTTGCACGGAGAATATCAAGTCGATAGTCAATTTCACGCCAGGTAGCGGCAAGCATGTCAGCATCCACAGAGGCTATTGCAATTGTAATTCTGGCTTTTAGGTCATCAATGTTCGACACGATCCTCCTGTAAACATTGTTCTTCATAAATCCCCAAAGAAAAAAGTCCAGCGCCGTTATATCAGGTGATCTGGGTGGCCAAGGAATTGGAAAATGGTCATTCAAAGAACTACGAACGATGATACCCCAATGAGGTGGTGCAGGCTGAAGCTCTTCTAGTTGTGGAAATACGAAGTTTTCCAACATGTCTAAGTATAGCACTGATGAGACCGTCTTTTCTGTAAAAAAGAAAGGCCCAATGACTCGGTCGTGCATTAGTCCACACCACACATTTACCTTTGGGGAATCTCTTTTTGTCTCATGGTATTCATGGAGAATTTCAGATCCCGATATGCGCACATTATGGTGATTAACAATGCCAGAAACATGAAAGGATGCTTCGTTGGAGAACATTATGCTCTTCAGAAAATCAGCAGCATCTTCTATCCTTCCTACCATATCTGTTGCAAACGCCATGCTCCTAGGCCTATCGTCCGGTTCCAAACCTTGAACAATTTGAACTTTGTATGCATGCAGTCTTAATTGTTTCTTAATAACCTTGTACATCGTCGAAATTGGCATACCAATTCGCTTGACGCTGATCTCACAGATCTTCTAGGATTGTCTAAAAATGTCTGTCTGACACACTCAACATCAAAATCACTTGTGCAGGGACGTCCGGAACGTTTCTTATCTGCAATACTTCCAGCATCTAGAAAATTCGTTTTCCACCGCAAGATGCTGCTTTTGGATGGAGGATCTTTTTGGTAAATTCTTCTGCAATTTCTCTGTGCTTGCACTATCGATTTCGTTTCTATGAACCACCATAAAATATGTGCTTTCTCTTGTGGTGTATGCATTCTCCTTAATAAATCGAATAAAACATCACATAGAAAAGTACTACATAGAACAAACACATCATAAGTAAACATAACATTGCAATAGTTGCCAAAAACAAAAGAGAGAAAAATGCAATTAATAAGCAGACGATATGTAGAAAAGTACAGATTTTTAGACTGGAAAATGAAATTATCTGAAATTAACCACACACGCAGACGATATTTACAAAAGTAAAGATATTCAAACCTGAAAAGGAAAATATGAGTTATTCCATCAATATATGCCATAAGTTTGTTTATATCTTTATAATTTTATGAGTTATTAAACATCAAAATGGGTCCGGGAATTTATAAACACCCTGTATTTTAAATAGTAAGAACAGCACAAGTAAGAATTTAATGAAGCGAACTAAAAATATAGTTAAATTGAGTCTAATTTAGACTTCTGATGTTAAAAGCACAAAGAAAATAGCATTCCCATACGAAGAAAACATACATCTGTATGTATATAATATATATAGTATACTGTGAAACTTCCTGTTGTGGACACTCCTACAAAACGGACGCCTCTCAATGCAGACGTATTTTTGATTCCCCTGGAATCTTCTATGAATAAACCGTTGTGTACATTCTCCGCAAAGTGGACACTCCCGTAACTGGACGCGGATGGTCATTTTTGCCCTGAACATCATTTTCTATCTGTTCAAACCGGACACTACTTTTCCTAAATTTAAAAAAAGTAAAATGATTTTTACTATGAAATTTAAGAAAAAATGCCTCTCTTCACCATTTATTAAAACATGGAAATTTTTTGCCTTATCCGTAACTAAAAACATTAAGCTATTTTAGTTTTAAATAATGTATCATTCTCCTGTCACTTTTCGATTTTATCTTTGGCAAGAAAGAAAGGAAAAATGATTCTGCTCATGTAAAATATTTAGGACAGTGGCATCTTTGGGTCATTTTATCTGGAAGACCCCACATGCTCACTCTTGAGACCCCACAAGTTAGAGTGTCACATTAATTGCTATTAATTCCTCTTCCCCACTGAAATTTCATTTTTACTTCTCATCAGTCTGCACTCATCCCAGCTGGGTTAAAAGAATAAAAATAGAAATTCTAGTCATGGAGGTGTTCATATAAATCAAACATTTATTCAAACTCTTGAGAAATGATAGATTGTGAATACAACTCCATAGGGCCTGGTGTCTTACAGGTAAGCATTATCTTGTTCCTTTTTTTATGCATAACTGAAAGTTTACTTTCAGGGAGGTATTACCACATTTCTTATCAAGTGATGGGGGGGGGATAAATGTATTGTTTGAAACTGACTGGGGTCCTGACATAGGAATATATGTGTCCATTCTGTATCCTATGACTAACTCGAATATCTGCGAAATTATGAAAAACATTTTTATTTCTTTGTAACTACATCTGTTGAAAGAGTATTTGAGATAAAACTTTTAAAAGATCTTTATTCTTGAGAAAGTCTCTTCGTGTTCAACAATGCCTCGTAAAGGAAACTTTAAAGGAAAAAATTGAACTTTTAGAGCATTCCAAACATCAAAAAAGCAGTCTCCACAGAATTGGCCAAACCCTTTAACATTGGAAAAATTCATTAAAAATAGAGAAAAACTTGGGTGCAAAACGGAAATTTAAAATTGGCAGATGCGTTTTTGAATAGTTTTCTCAAGTCAGAAGCGAACAATATCCAGTATCAGGACCCATGTTATATGAGAGAGGCAGCTGAGAAATTGGGGATAAAGGATTTTAAAGCTTCTAATGAATGATTACAAAAGTTCAGAAAGAGGCATATGATTTCTTTTAAATCAATAAGCAGAGATTCCACTTCTGTGGTTAAAGAATGGTTGGAGAAGCCCTTATTGAAGGACTATATTAAATGCTGATGAGATTGTTCTTTTAATTCAGGCATTACCGGAAAGAAACTTTTGCGTGTTAAAAGGTGAAAAGTGTGAAGGAGTGAAAATGTCAAAAGAAAGATTTACGATTTTACTTTGTGCAAGTATGACGGGAGAACAAGGGGAATATCAAATAAGCCAAGGTGTTTTAGAGAAATAAATTTATTTAGGCTTGAAACACAATGGAAAACAAACCGACGAGTATAGATGACCCGGGATTTAATGACTGAGTGGTTGCTTGAACTCGAAAGAAAAATGGGCCGCAGAAACAGGAAAGTTCTTCTTATTCTTGATAATGCTGCGTCTCACCCTAACATTAATCTAAAGAATGTCAAATTGCATTCTTCCCTCCAATTGTAATGTGTGTTAGCCAACCACTTGATCAAGGTGTTATTAAAAATTTCAAAGTGTTTTATCGGTAACTCATTTTAAAACACTCGATTACGAGTTTAGATGGGCCAAATAACGAAAACGTAAAAATTGATATTCTACAAGCTTCTTTGTAGATAATAGCAGCCTGGAAAAAAGTAAAAAGCTCAACCATTTAAAAATGTTTCACTAAGATAGGCTTCTAGAAAGATACATCAGAATGTAATATCCTTAGATGTCGTGGATGACACAAATTCTGTTTATTCCTTTCTTGAATTAACAAATTTGATTCGCTTGACTGGAGAAAGTGTTGTCAACAGTAATGATTTTGTAAACATTGACGAAAATATTAAAAGTCAAAAGAATATTTTAAATATGGACGAAATTACTGAAATTGTTGCAAATAATGATGCCGAGAGTGGAAATGAAGACACTGATATTCAATTGCTTTCTGAATATGAACCAGAAGAGAAAATTTTAAGTAATGCTCAAAGTTGTATTGGGAACTGAGACATTTTAATCTATCGAAAAATGATAAAATTGGAGTAAAGGTGCTAAATGATTTAAAAATGTACCATGAAAATATGGTGAGTCACAGCCGCTTAAAAGAAATTTCTATCACATTTTTCTTTTCAATTGGATAATAGTAAACCAAAGGCATATATCAGATTTCTTAATCTTCTCTTTTTGTACCATAAATATTATAATTTCATTACGTTTAAATAAATGTCAATGTAAATAGTTGTTATAGATTACTTAATTATTTCTTAATCATTGCAATTATTCTAAAAACAATTTATGGCTTCAGTATTCATTATTAATGTACCCTTCCCTTAAACAAACAACTCTCGAAAACGGACAATTTCTTTGATCCCGAGAGTGTCCACTAAACAGAGGTTTCACTGTATATAAACTAAACTCAGTGGCGCAACAGCTCATAGAGGGCCAAGGCCTACTGTGCCCATCTCAGTTTTCTTGAGCTTGGGCTCTAGGATGCATTAGCAGACGTTTCGGTTAGGTGGTCAACCGTTGGTGCAGCATATCCTCTTTTGGATCTTGCGCCATTAAACTCTACATTCAATCCATCAATGGGTGGTCAGCCGCACGCGAAACTCCCAGTGTTTAGTTCCCAAGCATGCTTGGTACTCATTTATTGACCCACTGAAGGGATGAAAGGCTGAGTCAACCTTGCCCGGCCCGAGGATCTAACCCAGGACCTGTCGCACAGGAGAGCGAATTAACCACCGGGCGTCTTATAGTATATATTATAATGAAATCTAGAATAATTTAAATTTTTTCCTAAATGAAACTGTTTATGTTAGAACAGGATACATAACCAAAATTTTCAACAAAAAATAAGTACCTTTTAAGCACTCAAAAATATTTGTAAGCACTTTTAAAAAATATAATGCAATAAAAAAAAATTTCCCTACTGTTGAAGTCCTTCATATACATATTAATAAAATGCTAAATAATTTTCAAAGACTTAACATGATCATGATAAGATTAATAGTTTCTGACAAAGAACTGTGTTCTTAATTAGCCACCATAAAAACAATTATGCACAAGTTTAAATATATTCAATATTGAGTGGCTCATTCTATTATTTAAATTAATAATTACTGTACTAAATTATGTAAGATAACTTTAATTCACAATTATAATTAACTTAACCATTATTTAAAAAAGTTATTGATCATGCTGAAACTATAAAAATATGTAAAGAATTTAGCTAACTAAGAAAACTAATAAATTCATATTACAACTGAAAAAAATGTATGGCCCTTTATAAATTTTCATTTAGCTTTGTTACTTGGTTCAATATTACGTTAATGAAAGTTTTAAAAAAAAATAATATAATATAATTATGAAATGTAAATACAATGAGTACTGAAACTAAACATTTTTCTCAGAAGTAAATTATTATATGGTCCCTACACACATAAACTTTAGCAAATCTGATATAATTAAATTTTTTATTTCAATTGTTTTTAAATCAAATTATTAAGAATTGAATTAAAGTTTTTCTGAATGACAAATCTAAATAACGTAAGATTTTTTGCAGCATTATAACAGTGATGAGTTTTTTTCATAAAACAACTTAAAAGTATTGAAAATTTTAAAAGTAATAATACAGTAATAAAACTTAATAAGTAAAAAAAATGTAATAGAGTATAATAAATTTTTACAAAAATTGTATGCAATTGGTAGATGTTCCTTCAAATAGAATAATCTTAGGATTAAAAATCTAAATTAATTCTTAGCTTTATTAAATTAAATTAATAAAAGGGAAAAGGAAATTTTTAAGAGGAGAAGCGATGGGATTCTTTACTGCTCTGGGGACTCATATGAAAATACATACTAATTAGTGAATGATCCCCAATTCAAGGATTATAGTACTGAACAATAATAGAAGAGTGTGAGAAGGCTTTCAGCTTGCCAGACCACAAAGGCACTTCACCAACGCTGAAATTAACAAGAAAAATAAAATAAAAAATTTGCTGTTAGAGAGAGAGAGAAAAAAAATTGACACTTTTTAGTTGGTCCTGTGATCAGCAGATATTCAAGAGAGAATTTGTTTCGATTTCAGAGTGCAAAAAATGAAGCCTGAAATTAAGAATCTCTTGCAAAATCCATTAGAGTTGCATGATACTGCAAGAATTCTTCTCACCGAATCCAGCTCAGTATACGTACATATGGGCCTGCAAGTATTTCTTAAAACATGTAAAATGGTTGGCACTTTCACATGCTACGGACTGATGCTATGCTGCTATGGATTGCGGGTGAATAAATTGTGAAAACATTGAATAAGACAATGAGTAATCCACGTTCTTTGCATACTTTGTGGCGAAAATCAACATGGTAAAGAAAAAATATCTCATTTTGGAACAGCGAAAATTAAGCACTTTTTAAAACACACAATGAAACAAGCACCTTTAAGCAAATTTTAAAAATCGAAAATAAGCATATTTAAGCACTTTTTTAAAACCCTACGCACCTTGCAGAAGCAAACTCAGAGTAATTATCTACAACCATTATCCCTTTCACATTGACTGTCACATACGCATGGCAAAATGAAACTCCTTTATTATTGGCCAAAAATTAGAAAATTTTTCATACATTCAGGATATTTTTTGACACAATATATGTGTTCAAGACTTTTTTTCAAAAAAAGCATCTGACAAACTAAAAAGAAAATATAATTTGCTATACTTAAATATAATAAAAGCAAATTTAAGCCCTTGAAAGTATATAATATATACTATTTTATTAATTTATTCAGAAGAAAATATTTTAACAGTTTCAAGTATAATGATGCACTGTTCAACTCATAATATCAATATAAAGAATATTTAAAAGAGAATAACCAGTATATATTAGTTTATATTCCCTCATTTAGTTAAAATTTGTCATCGAGTTCAAAATTTAAGTAGAGTTTCGATTATCTCAAAATGAATAGACAGGGCTACCTAAACAAAATTCTTTATTTCACCAATTAAAAATTTAATGATGGCTGTTTTGTGGATTGATATTAATCATTTTGAAAATGAGGCTCAAGGGACTAAACAAAAAATGTGAAAGCACCTAAAAATTTTGTTACAGCATTTGCTTAAAATAAGAAGTAAGCTTCGAAATAATAATGGTTCCTGAAGTCAAAATTGCCAATCCTTATTTGTAAAATGACATAATTCTCATAACATATTAAACTAATTTTGACGATAAGGCAGTTACGAAGCAATATAAAAATAAAGACAAAGTAATGTGATTCCTTTACAAATAAAAACCTTTCAAAATAATTTTTTTTTTAATTTAATGGTATTATTCAACCTGAATAGGAATAAATTAAGAATTAACTATTGTTAAAATAAGTTAAGAACTGCAATAAAACTTAATGAACCACCACGAAACTTAGCATATAAGAGAAATTACGTAAGAAAGATGGTATACCTTACTTCATTATTAATTCTTAAATTCTAAAAAATGCAGTACAAAACATAAAATTCAACTACATTTAACTTATGCTAAATATATCTACATTAAAAAATTACATTTTTCCTTTTTCTGTAGTATTCATTTTCATGGACATCTCTTGCGAAACCAAAATCAGCAATCTTAAGCATTTTATCTTCCATCACAAGAATATTTCTAGCAGCCAAGTCTCGATGAATGCACTGAAACACATTATCTTATTTAATCCACAATTAAGCATTTTTTTGCAGCAATTTATTGAAACTTAAAATATATGACACACCTTTTTGGAAGCTAAATATTCCATTCCTTTAGCAATTTGATATGCAAAAGTTACCAAACATTTTTCAGATATTAATTCTCTTTCAGAGTTAGAAATTTCATAACCTGGCACAGGTCTGTGAATACGAAGGTAATCTCTTAAATTTCCATTCGCTGCATATTCAACTACAACATACAATGGTCCTGAAAAGTAAAAGAGGTCAATTCATTAATGCTGCTACAAAACACTGAGTTAATAATTCATTTGAATAATACAGTACAATGAAATAATACATTTGAATAATTAGTTTTTAAACATGGGATAATTAGGCAAAAATAGTTCATTTAATCAGATTCACAATTTTAATGTATTGTTAATCAAAATACATCACCAACAAATGTAGTTTTATCGAAAATAAGTTAATATGTGTCTCTTATCATTCTGTCATACAACTTAAAAGCATTAAAATAATAATTTATTCATTTACATATCTCTCTGCTCCTCTACATTGCATTTCATTTTTATACTCATCTAAATAACAAAGATACAAAACATAAATCTTAAAATGAAAAACTTAAATATAAAAAATTTAAACGATATTTCTCAAAACTTTTTTTCTTTTCAGATTTAAAAGTGTATCCATTCTTAAAATGCAATTAAAAGTGTAACAATACAAATTATAGTGTGCTTATGAGATGCATAAGACTTTTTTAAGAGGGATATAAGTTTTTTCTTACTAGTTTAAAGTTTAAATTATAATAGGATGTAGAAATTAAGATTTTACGATGCTACAACCTTTTTACGGAAGTAATATCTCAAAATCTTAATTTTTTTTAATTCAAATAATTTTTGAAAATAACAATTATATTTAAGCAGCTGGAAAATGAAAAGGTTGAGTTAATGCAGGAAACTTACCATTTTGAGTACAACAACCTAATAAATTAATGATATGAGGATGCTTCCCCACTGTTTTCATTATCTCAGCTTCAGATACTAAATCTATCATGTCTTGATCTGTATAACCATCTATTAATGATATCATGATTATTAATTAAAAGAACAAAAACAATCCTATAAACTAATTCATTCTCTAGAACTGACCTTTCAGCATTTTTACTGCAACCATTAATGGTTTTCCCCACACAGTCATCACTTCAGCAAGTTTTACTTGTCCAAATGCTCCTCTACCAAGATCTTTTCCAAAAACCAAGCTGAAGAAAATAGAGAATAATCATCTTATACAAATGAGGAAAGAATTATAGACATGGTTTTATTTATATTAAAATTATTTACTAATAATCTTGCTATTCTTATTCCTTCACATTTAAAAGCCATAGTTATTCTTTAAATAAAATTTACTTTGTATGCAAACAGATTTTTTATTTAACTTTTATATTTATAATATTAATCTACAAAGAGAAATTTGCTGTTTTGGTCAAATAGTATACTTGTCAAAATGTATTGAATCAAAGGTGCAATATCTACAAAATTGACAATAATTGAAATGGGTTTAAATAAATAGAATGAATTAGTATTAAGAAATAAAAGCTACTATTAACCTTAAAATGCTCTAATGTAGCTGCGTAAAATTTAATTTATTGCAAGTTTTAAAGTACCTATTTTGGTTACTTGAGAGCTTTCTTAATTTTTAAAAACTGATACTGGCATGCACATTTACTAAATCATACTAAAAGACATGTAAGCACTAAATAGAAAGCTAGTGATGGGAAATTTGAAAAAAAATTGCTATTTGAAAAAAAAAGTTGGACTTGATTTTTTTTCCTCCAATATTTGGCAACAAATTCTAATAAAATCAGAAAAAATAAAAATATTTTTTTTTTAATTTAGTTAGAAAATGAAAGCTACTAATGGCAGCCAACTTTAAAAAAAAGGTCTTTTAATAGTAGGAAAATAGTAACATAAATTATAAACAAGTAAAAAAACAATATCTCATGTGATGTTTAACAGAAAACACCTTTGTTTTAATTCAAATAAACAAACACCATTTCTCTCCTCCCCCACCCCCCTGAAATTGACTAAAATGTGAGACAAAATATATACTTATCTACCATTCTATCTCTAAAAGAAATTACAATAGTTTTGGCTTTTTCTTCACTTACTTTTCCCTAGGTAGCTCCCACACAGGATCAACAGGAAACTCGTATTCTAAAGTAGCCGTAGAATCATTATGATATTCAGATTCAAATGGTTGTATTTTCACCAAAGGAGCCATTAAATTTTGAGTACTTCCAGAACCCTGTAATTGAAAACCCATGCGATATCAAAGCAAAAAATAACCAATTTGTTATTTAATCTCTTTAAAAAAGTTCACAGCTTATAAAAATTTAACTAAATTATTTGTTTAAATTAAATTTCTTCAATGGAAAAATACACTAATTTACCAACATAACTGAACTGAATCTTTGGATTCTGACTACCACTTTAAGATAAATTTGCAGCAGAACTGATTCCAAAGAGTTTACCATGAACCAATTTCCAAGAATGAAGCATGTAGAAAATGTTGATTTACAAAGAATATAGTCAGTTTAAAGATACAAATAAGTAAAAATGAAATTTTAAAGAGTTCTTTGCCAGAAGTTAAAATTTTACCTTAAGGTGAAAGACATCATTTTAAGGATGGACTCGAGAAGAAAATATTGATGTTAAAAAATAATAAAATAAGAATTGGTTTCATGATACAAATATATATAATCCGAGATGCGAACTACTCCGGACACGCCAAAATAATTTTAAAAAATGGTAAATAACTATAAAGTAAAAGTTTCAAATATTTGGCTATTTTTGCTCGCTTTTTAAAAGGTATAGCATGACAGAAATACTATAAAGTGATGAATTATATACGCCTACAAATTATTTAGAAATAGCGGTAGATAAAAATCTACTTAATTGAATTTATTGAACCAAGAATCACAATTGATAAACTACCACTTTAAAATATATATTTGCTGTCCGGAGCAAGTTGGCATCTTTATAATCAATTTCTAAAGTGTTCTTTATAACAACAAAATTCAGGTTATTTTCGAACTGTTATTTTCAGACAATCTTAAGTAGAATTGTTGTTTTTACAAAATTTCCTTAAATACAGAATGTGTTATACATTGGTACAAAATGGAAAAACGTTGTGGGTAAATGGAACAAACATGTTACATAATAATCAACATTTGTTTTTAGTGATTGCTCATACTTTTTTTTTTTCATGTCTTTAATGCATATTCTGTGGTATAGTGTATAATTGAAAGTTTGCAAATCTTTAACCACAGAATTGTTCGACCTTTTGGTTGGCTAGTCTGTTTAATATACATAAATACTACGGCAGATAGTGGACCAGTACTTTGGGCTTAGGGTACAGTGAGCCTTTTTTTTTATCACCAGCAATATACAATTGATTTACGTTGTAAAAATGATAGTTCACCTTTAAAGTCTTATAATTTTGAAAATAACTCAGAAATTATTTTCAAGTTATTTTAATAAATAAAAAAATATTATTTTTAATAAGATATGACTCTAGTTTACAGAGACCAAAGTTCAATAATCAAAACCACATTGTTTGAAATCAAAAATAAGGAGACCAAAACAAGGAAAGATTTTATTTATTTTTTTGAAAAATTATTTTTTGGAAGTTGGAAAGTGAATTTTAAAGGATATAGCCTAGGTAAAACACGTTTTACAAATTGGTTTAGTTTTTTTTTTCTTTTTCTATCACAAAGTACACAAGAATTGCACGAATTTAGTAAGAATTTAATTTGAAATAAATTAATGCAACAGTTTTTAATTGTATCAACTACGACATTACACTAACAACAGATAGCAGCTGAAACAAATAATTAAATTTAAAATGTTAAGTTTATAAATAAGTAATATAAGAATTTAAACACAAGTTTAAACTGATAGAAGTTCCATTTGGATCTAAATTACTCTCTGACATAAATAACACGCTAAACATAATAAAATGTTATTACAGCTAATCTGTATTATTTAATCTAATAATTTCCAAAATTACAAGGAAATTAAAGAAAATTTCTAAAATGTTAGATTATGGTCAGGACTGTTTAGCAAAATCCTGTTTAGCAATGCAATAAAAGTTCACTTATGACAACTTATCAAGCAAATCAATATCGAGAAAAGCAAAAATTAACAAATTGTTATAAATATTAGATATCATGAAAAATTGAAATGATATAAAAAAAATTACCTGTGGTTCCAAAATTACTCTCTTTCTTAAATATACATTAACAGGTTTGCTTGCCAGCAGCTTTAACCTTCGTTTCTCTTGTTTTTGTCGATAATAACAAAAGCACAAAGATAGGGAAGCAAGGCATAAAATTGATGCACATGATATAAAAACAACCCAGATTGATGGAAACTGTGGCTTTTTTAAAACAGCAGCTGGAAAATAAAAAGATTTTCATAATGTGTAGAATATCATTTTTAACTATAATTATGTAGTAGCACTGAACATAAAATATTAAAAGATAAGAGCCTGCTTAGTATAGTTACAAAAAAAAAAGTTTAAGACGAAGTTTATCCATTTTTAATCAGTTATTTTTTCTTCATATCAGTAAACAATGATTATACACTGGTGAACAAACTTTTTATAGTGCTTAAGATTTTATAATGGATCTTAGATAATTTCACAATGTTGATTTCAAATCTGTTTCTTTCTCCAAGCTACAGTTTATTTCAAAACTTACATTTTTAGTCTATTTTTTGCTGAAATGTACAAGCTTAAAAACGTTATAGATTACAGGGTTCGCATAAATGTTGCAACAAACTTCTGGGGGAGTTAAGGCATATCATCAGGTTAAAAATTTGAAACTCACGCTCAGAAATATCATCATATATCGATTCCCTCTTATAAACAGTTTTTTTGTGTGCTTTTGAACAGGTCATAATAAGGAGACACCAATAGCCACGTACAATTATATTTCCAGGATGTGGTTTCCATGCAATCTTAATCCTGATGAGGTGCCCTAACCCCCCTAGAAGTTTGTCGCTACATTTACCCTACCCCCTGATATTTACATAACTTTTTAAAGATGTATATTTTGATTTAAAAAATAATAATAAACTGAAAATGTCATTAAAAAACTGTAGCCAGCATAACTTATTTCAGATTTGAAATCCTCACCTCAATTAAGCAAGATTAAGTATTTGTATGAATGCAACAAAAAATTTTCGCAACTTTATTATTGCACAACATTATATAATAAAACGTCGTCTGTAAACTTTCCTTTAACTGTCATAAAAATATTAATTTGTTTTTAAAAAGAAAAGTATCGAGCCATAATATGGCATTCCCTAACAATTGTTGGAAAATAATGAGAGAGAGAAAAAATACTTAAAGCTATCAAAATACTTACGTGGTAAAACAGTTAACCATGCATCTTGCTTAGATTCTCCGAATGTATTGGATACAAAACAGGCATATCGTCCAGCATCTTCGTAAGTAACATTTTTCAATATAAGATAATCATGATTGGTGTTGTTGGGATCTGTAGACTGTAAAAACAGGAGCATTCATTGAAAATGTTTTGAATGACATTTCTTCATAACAAATCTTTAATACTTACAAATACTGCCCTTGCATTTAAATAACCTTCTTCATCATAATGGCTGCCATTCACCTCATAATATTTCACCCACCACAATGCTGGATGGAGATCACTTATATATTTGCATTGAAATGTAACAGTTTCTCCAATATATACTGTCTGATTTCCAGGGTGATTCTCTTTTATTATAGGACGATGAGGCAATCGCTCTGTACAATGATAAAATAACAAGAATTTGTTGTATTGGTGATTATTTGCAATGAGTTACATTTGTATTTATTTTAGAACTTCTAAAGCCAATGATATTTTTAATGCGTAGAATTAGGCCCTTTTACTTAGAATTTTTATTAAACATATAATTTTTTTCTTCATTATTTTATATTAATTTAGGTCAAAATAGGTGAAAAACATATTTAGCATTTTAATTATCTTTGGTTATGAGATACAGCATGAAACACAGCTACCTTTTTTGGCGTTAAAGTTAAAATCTTTCAAACGTGGCTCACTTATATACAATAATTTTTAAATGTGCACTTTTTTGCAGTTATTTAGATCTAAACGAAACAGTTATCCATTGTTGAAATTCTTTAATTTACAAAATCAAATATTGATAAATTTTTAAGCATGTAAAAAAAAATTTAGACTCTTTTTTCCTTTTTCTTAATTTTATATTATATTAGAAATATAGTTCCGATAATCTAACAGACTTTTATATTAACTATTAGACTGTTTTATCTAATCAGAAAACACCAAAATATATTCTTTTCTGGTAATTAGAGCATCCGAAAAGTGATATATAATAGGAGCAACTGTGTCCCATCTGCATTAGAGGGTTAATGTGCAAGCTAAAGTAATAAGTTTGCATTAAATTTTAGTAAAAGTAAAATACAAAATTAGCACAAAAAATTAAATGCTTTTACATTTTGCTTTTACATTAAAAATAATGAATAAATAAAAAATTAAATAAATTATGTTAATTTTTTTGAAAACATAAAATAAATTCATTTAATTAATGTGTCTTGTTTTAGACTGAAATTTGCTACATTTTATAAATGTTTAGAAGCTATTAACTTCAGAAGTAAATTCTAAAAATTAAGTTTTGCTTGTTTTAACATTTACTAATCAATTATAATAGGACATTTTTTTTAAATTCAATAACTCACTTCTTACACTCATTTTGCTTAAAAAAAAACTTCATGAAAAATTTACTGTCCCTTTCTATTTCTCTCTTACGACTTCATTAATTAAAGAAAAATATCCTTACCAGCAACTTCTAAAGTATAATTGAAACTAAATTCCCCCAATTCATTCCAAACAATGCAGGTGTAGACTCCATTATCTCTCACAGTCAAATGATCAAGGTTTAATTGCCATTTTTTAAACTGAACCTAAATTTGAAATAAAAATAAGAAAATAAAAAACGTTTTTCTAAATAAGTCTGATAGGTTGGTGTGTACCAATGTTGCAATATATATAATCATACCAATTTTTAAAAGAAAAATTTGTACTTGATAGTGAACATCATTTAACACCTTAACTGCCGCGGGCGTATATATACGTCTCGGCCAGACAATGCGTTAACTGCCGCAGGCGTATATATACGCTTTCCCGAAGTACGATGCTTTGCATTGCGCTGCTATAAATAGAACTACACCCCCTACTTCAGAATGCAGTAAAATGGCCTTGAAAGTGTTTGCTTTGCGAATGTATTACTAATTTCGGAGGAGGGGGAATGGGAAAAGGATGTTATGGAAAAGTGATATCGTATTAATCGCTTGTGTGTATTTATTTGAGTAAGGTCGGGTTTATTCTTTTTTCGCTTTTGTTTCCCGTATGTATTTGGTGCTTTTTATTCTTTCCATCAACGTCTTCAAAGAAAAATGCATCGCGAAAATGTGCTGTTTGTTCAAGAAAAAAAATTCGTCGTGAATCCCGCTATCAGTGCGATGAATGTGATGTTGGTTTATGTGTCCAACCATGTTTCAGGATTTATCATACAACAGCTAAGTTTTAACATCTTTTATATTGTATTTTTATTATTTAATTTAAATTTTGTATTTTCTTTCTTTCCTTTTTCTTGTCTTGTAAAATTAAACTGTTTTTAAATTGCAAAGCGTGCATCATTTCCCCCACAGAAACACCGTGTAAGAAAGAGCACTTGAGCGAAAAACGGTGGCACTGGGGAGTGAATCATGTTAATTTTACTCGGCAGTTAAAGGGTTAAAAATCAATTTTTGCCATAGAAGGTGAAATTTCTCAGTTCAGAATATCATAACATTAATAACAGCAAATTAAATTGAATATTAAACATTTGAACTACAGATTAAGAAAGGGGAACCTTGTCATTGCAGAATTTTTGTTTTTTATATTGGGAATGATTTTTGTGGCTTAGTAAGAAAAAATGTGTTTCTGTCTACATTATGATTAATTGAGTTAAAAAAAAAAACAGATAATATAAATGGTATAATTGGAAAGAGCTAACTTGGATCTAATGTAGGCACACCACTGATCAGAACCTAATAATCCTATTGAAATTATACACATTAATGGGGTTTAAATCAATCAAGAATCAGCAGCTTCAAAAAATATTAAATTGATTTAGGAAAAAAAAACTTCAGATAAAAAAAAAAAAAAAAAATCATGAAATTAAGAATTTAAAAAAATGTTTTTGAACATTACTAAAAATTTAAGAGAATTATACTGCTTAGATTCAACAAGAAATATAAATTTAAAAGCATAAAATAACATAAATATTAACAAAAATACTTTTTTAAAACAAAAATGTGCAGTAAACCAAGAATTTAAAATTATTAAATGTAAATCAGTACAAAATTACTGAAAAATCGAATTTGACATCATTCAACATAACCTACATTGATGACATCGTTGTGGAGGTATTAATGCAGGAAAAACAAGTAAATATATTGACTTGGATAGAGAAACTTTAGTTAAAACAATGCCTCATTGCAGTAGGCAAAGATTCTGAATAACTTTTAATTCACATACTAGGGCTCATTTTCAATAGTTGGAGGGGTCTTACCATAAACACAGTAATTAATTAGTGCAGACAACATTTTAAGTTAAATCTGATGCAATAACTTACCATATTAAATAAACATAAATTTTGTTTGATGATTAGATTAGGATTTTAATCCTCGAAATCGCGATTTGAAAAATGTAGTCCCTTAGTTAAGTCAGGACAGCAGTCATAAACTAAGACTTAATGTTATGACTTAATATTCCATATCACCGGAATAATGAAGCAAATCAAAAAACTTGCACACAATTATAAAGCTAGTTTATCTAAAGCTAATTCCATGTAAAAAGTTGTTTTTTAAAATCATTTATTACAATTCTTTATTTATGGTCAAACATTCATAATTTTTAATAACAAAATTCAAAAAAATTGGTTCAGTAGTAGGGGAGAGTCGGGTAGCCCTGCCCATTTCGATTGTTTTATCATCTAATTAAATAATGCAAAAAGAATAAATAAACCAAAAAAAGAATAGCTTAACTTAAAAAAATAGAAATTTAAAAAATTTGACTGCTGTATTAAACATATTTTCAAAACTATTGTTTACCATGTTACCAGCTGCATAAATGCTTGAAACTTTGAAAATAATATTTTTTAATATAACAATTAATGTCCGATAGCCTATTGACTTGAAAAAATATTCTATACATATGAAATTGACAGTGGGCAGGGGTACCCGACACTCCCCTACTTAAGAAATAAAAATTTAAATACCACTTCCTTCAGATAATAAAATATGTGAAAAGCGAAATTAAAATCAAGTTCTACTGTTTATGAATTGATTCTTTTTTACAAATTATTAGCCAATAATATTTAGTCGCAAAAAAATTTTGAAAAATATTTTCCATGTCAAAAAAATAAAACAAAAAACAATATTTAACAAAAGAAAAATAACTTCTTATAATTAGTTACAAAATTTCTTAAATCTAAAAATAAAGAGATAGTGTTCAAGAGAAATCAAAATTTTGAAGGCTATTTACCATATGTTAGGTAAAAATATAACTGGTATTTCCATGCAAAGTAAACTTGAATTTTCCATTTTTAAAAACATAATGAGTAAATTTCCTATTAATATGTATAACTACATACACAAATATACTTGTGTTTCAGTAACAAAGTATTTATTTGCAAGTGCATATTTTATTAATAGCCTTTAAAATAAAACAGTTTTCACAGTTTCTTCTTCAACAACAAAAATTTCTCTATTAGAATTTTTTTTTTCCGTTGTTTCAACAATTTTTGACTTAAAATGGACACTTAATGTCTTTTCAAATTAAGAAAAAGTTTAATTTAAACTAGAAAAAGGTTGCTTTTTTTTAATTTAAAAAACAGTAAAATCAAATTAAAAATTTTACAACAAACTACAGTAAAATAGTTTCAAATAAAAAAATTAATGGTCTTCAATCGTTATATTTCTATCCATTCCAGACATAATGAAAAAGAAATTTCCTAGTAATTGTAAAGTATGTTAGTTGACAAACAATTTCTCAGTGTTGCACTTACACGATCTGATTTTTTAAGTTCTTGACCATCTTTATACCATTTAATTTCAGGTTTAGGATTACCATCTGCCACACATCGCAATGTTTCTGACTGTCCAGCTGGCAGCGCAACAAACGATATCATCTTATGGCGTTTGAGTAAAGTAGGAGGTCGAATTGGATCTTTAAAAGAAATTTTCAAATTAATAATAGATGTAAGTATTTTTTTCTTTACTTTTTAAAAAGAATATAAAATGCCTAAAAATTTTGAAATACAGTGTTCTACTGCAGCACAAATATAACGCTTATTCTTTTTTTCCTCCTTTTCTATTATCATTGTTCTAAGTGTGCAAAAATGTAAGAAATACTATAAAACGCTTAATTAGTAAAATATCACATTATATTACTTCAAAAAGAAAATATATTAAAATGTGCATTCAAAATAAAACTAAATGAAGCAATCACTTTGAAAGTAAAATATCTTAACGTGCGTTATAATAATATTAAATCAATCAAGGTAATCACTTACTATTACATAGTTTTCATGTTCCTTTATTGCTTATAAAAGAATTTTGAAACACGGATAGCTTTACTAGCTTTTAAACATTGGGAATTCCCGAATTTGTGAAAATTGTTATAAAAATAAGCAATAGAAATCTTAGTTTATAATAAGCAAATTAATTTAGACCAACTTACAATTAAATAATAATAAATTAAATAAAAATCACTTAACAGTAAACTGTTTTAACATAATTCATGTCTGTATTTCCTAAATTTACATAAATTGGTGAAGAAAAGGAGTTATTCAACTTGTTTAAACTATAAAAATTACAAAACTTAGCAACAGAGAATTTTAGGTCAAATTAAACAAAAATCATTTTGCAAGGATACAAAAGCCAGGGTTCCCACTCCTTCAACAAAGCAAAATTAAGCACTGTTAAGGACTTTTTTTTTAAGAAATTAAGGACTTAGAAAAATGTTTATCATCGAATATGCAAACCTTAATTTCTTCTATAAAAAACAAAGATTGGACATCAGTGTGCTAAAATACAGGAATGGTAAATACAGAGATGATTAAAATTCGACAGAGGTTACATCATATCAAAGAGATAAATACTACTATACCATATTTAAGCAATATTTGGATATCATTAAATTTTTTGGCACTTTTAACTGTATATTTATCTCTTTAGTATGGTGCTGGATTTGAATCGTGTCTGTTTTTACCATTCCTGTATTTTATCTTACTTAAGATAGATCATTGAGACACCAAAATATATAGATGCTTTTAATAATTCATTAACTCATCATTCCTGTATTTTATCTTACTTAAGATGGATCATTGAGACACGAAAATGTATATATATTTTTAATAATTTATTTGTGATTTGAAACATTGTTTTAATTGAAATTTAATATCTACATGCTTATTAATTTAATATATAAAATATTTGAAAATATTCAGCTTTGAAATGTTTTTAAGGAAAATTATAAAATAAAATTTTTTTTATGATTTATGAAGAAAAAAAATTGATTGCACGAATATTCAACAATTTGAGGTGTTAGATCTGATAATTATGGATAGTATAACACTAGTTAAAATAAATATTAAAATACAAACCAGTCACAACTAAAGTGAAAGTATGTTCAATGCTGCCTTCAGTATTGTTTACAAAGCATGTGTATTTCCCAACATCTTCCAACTTAAGAATGTCTATTTTCAATTTCCAATTCTTCAAAATTATCTAAATAAATGCATGAGGAATTAAATTATAAATGAACATTTTTTTTTTTAATTTTTAGAGTTATTTTAAGAAATGAAAATTATTTACTTACTTGACTTTTCTTTTTGATATCTTTGCCATCTTTAGACCAAAATATTTTGGGTGGAGGATCCCCCATAACAGGGCATTCTAATGTCAATGTTGATCCAACTCTGCTCACAATATTCTCATCTGTGAGATTTTGAAGGAAAACTGGAGGCTTGTTGAGAAATACACCATGTTTAGAATCATACACGAGGGATTCTGAGTCATTAAACATGGGCATCACATAGCTGGTATAGTTTACTATAATAAACATGACATGATGAATCAAAATATATGTGGCACACAAAATCATAAAACCTGGACATCACAAAGCTAGTATAGTTAACAATAATTAACTTAAAAATATTTATTTTATATGGACATCACATAGACGGCTTACTTTAATAAACATAAAATTGTAGAATAAATTGATCAAAATAAAAGTGGCAGCAGAGTAAGTTGATGACCTATAAAAGTCATAAAACATGGGCATCATATAGTTAGTTACAATAAACATTAAAATAAAAAAATTACTGTACAGAGTCATCAAACATGAGTATCATCTAGCTATTACAGTTAACTACAATAAAAATAAAAAATTATTATGGTACAGAATCATTAGACATAAGCATCACATACTCTTCTAAAATAATCATCAAATTATGCATAAAAATATAAGTTGCATACAATAAATTGATGATCAACATATCATTGTAAAGCATCACATATACAGTACATAAAAATATAATTTTAAGGCAGAGAGTCATTAAACATCACATAACTGATATACTTATCAATATACCTGATATCAGATTGATTTCCAATTGTTTACAGAATCCTTAAATTTGAATTAACTCAAATAGTCACAACTAATATTGTCTAATTAGGTTTGAACCTATTATTCTAAACATTCAAGATTCTGTAATGTGATAAACATAGAAAAATAGGTGGTTTAAGAAATTACATACATAAAGCATGTACTTGTGAAACACTCTAAAAATATTTTGAACACAGTTGTCAACTCATTTGAAATAATCTAATGGTAATATAATGCTCCGACAATGTTTTGATTAAGTTAATAAAGTCTTAATTGTTAAAATAATATCACATCAAGGTAAAAATAAAACCTAAGAATCATAGTTAAAATAACCATCAAAAATCTCCTTCTTAGATAGACGCAACTACTTTAAAAATTACTTTCTTTTTTCCTTCTTTCTTTTAAATAAAAAAAAAATTGGAAGATAGTATATAAAGAATATTCCATGTTTATTGTCAATCTAAACGTGTAAAATATATTTTAACTTTAAAATACAGTTCATAGAAATTTTTATCAATGTATGCTACTTGATATTAATTTTACTCAGCAACCCTTCTTCAGTTAAAAGAGAGAAAACAAAGTTTTAAAACTGTAAATAAAATTCAGTTTCTTCCATTAAAAGAGAGAAAACAAAGTTTTAAAACTATAAATAATAGTTTAATTTTGGAAATTTAAATTCCTTCAAAGTTAATCGAACGTCGTTCAGTTTCTTTAGTTGAAAGAGAGATAACAGTTTTAAAAATATGAGTAATAGTTTAATTTTTTAAATTTAAATTCCTTTAAAAATTTAATTGAAACTACCTAAATCAATTTTAAAATCCTAAAATAATGAGAATTCCCTTAATATTACAGAATATAATTATACAATTAATTATATTTTAAATGTATTTCTCAAATCTTGAATAAGTAACTACTTACTAATAAGATTATACAACAATAATAAAACTATTCTTTAAAATGTATAAATAGAAAGATCCATTTTTAATACACACAAGTAAGACACAAACCTGTAAATAACAGTAGTTAAAATTCTGCTTAAAATCACAAGCTTAACATTTAACACTATTAAGCGTTATTAAGCTATCTAATAAAAATAAACATAACAGCAACCAGTAAAATGTATGCTTAACATTAAAAATTTAAAACGCAAAGAACATTATGAATTATTAAAATCACTGCTCTTTTGATTTTATTAAGCGGCTGATTTTTATTAAGAGGCAATTCAACGTTTGAAACAAAAATTCAAATTTTTACGATATATTTACTCTAAATGCACACACTTTAAAAGCTGAAATAATGACAACATTAATGCTTTATTTTAACTAATTTAATTATTTTAATAAAGTAAAACCCTACATAAGATCAAATTTACAACATTTTTGCAAAAAACCGATCAATGGTTGCTTGAGTTGCAGTATTTAAAATGAACTTTTCAACATCATTTGAGAGTTTATAGAAATTTTTTTAGCTTTCAATATTTCCTCCTCTTTGTTCTAAAGCTTGTCGCAATACATTAAGTGCTTTTCTGACTTCCATTGAAGATGGCACTGATGAGTTTATTTCATCTTCTGAGTCTGATTCCTCCATTTCTTGATTGGAAATAACTTTGCAATTTTTGATGTCTGTAACAATTTCAGAATCAGATTTTTCTCCTGATGTTTGCAGGTTATCGTCAATAGCTACGTAACGTGAAAAATTCTCGTCCATTTCATTTTCTTCATTGCTGAGCATTTCTTCGAAACAGTTATCAGCTCCATCACCAGTGCTTAATCCACACTTTTTAAAGCAATTTGATATTGTTTGGGTTGAAACAATGTCCCATGAGTTACGAATCAAATGCATTGATTCCAAAATCGTAAGGGATTTCGATAGTTTGTTTGCAGTTAAGAGTTCCGAAGAGCTGTCACAGTCTATGTCACTAATGATTTTTTGAACAACCATTTTTCTGTAATGAAACTTGAATGATCTTATGATTCCCTGATCAAGGGGTTGAATAATAGCTGTAGTGTTGGGTGGCAAAAACACTAATTTAATGTTTTTCAAACTCAAGTCCTCATCAGCAGGGTGCGCAGAACAATTGTCTAAAAGTAAGATGACCTTTTCATTTTTCAGCTCCTTGTCCCATTCAAGAAGAAATTATGTCAAGATACTAGATGTCATCCATGCGTTATAGCTCTTGGCATAACTGGTGGGCAGGTGCTTTACTCCTTTAAAACATCGAGGTTTTAAACTCTTTCCTATCACTAAAGGTTGTTTTTTTTCACAGTTCCTGTCATGTTGCATGTTAGCAGCGCGGTTAGTCTTTTCTTCATTTTTTTACATCCACCAGTTGATTCATTTTAAAACAGCAGCGTGTGTTCAGGAAGTGCTCGGAAAAATAATCCTGTTTCATCTGTGTTGAAAATTTGCTCTGGTTTGTAGTCTTTAATGAGTGTTGGCCACACGCCGTTTACACAATCGGCGGCAGAGCTAAAATCAGCATCTTGCTTTTCACCATGCAATTTACGATAAACAATGTTGTTGCGGTCTTTCCATCAGGTTAGCCACCCATCTGTAGCTTTAGAATCAGAATCACCAAATAAGTTCGCAAAGTCCTGTGCTTGTCAAATAAAATTCCACGGGAAATTGGAATTCTTCGTTCGCGTGCATTTTTGAACCATTCTAACAGAGCCATTTCAATTTCCTCCGATTTTCCGTCAGGCTTACGTTTTCTTGACAGATTTCCTTTCTTTTCTATTTCCTGGGAGATATTTATCCTTTGTTTCAGAATGTTTAAAAGAGCAGTTTGGGAAATCCCTAATTTAATTGAAGCTTCATGTTGACTACATATAGGAAGCTTATCATAGTTTTGCAACACTTCGAATTTATCTTATTAAGACTCAAATCCTTCCTTTTCGGCATGCTGATAAAATTTAACACCAAACGAACTTAAAAATGATATGTGCTCTAACTCTAACTATAATTTACTCAAACGGCTTAAATAACATGGAACATGAGCACAGACAGTTTTCGGAAATCTATTCATGTTCTTTGTTAAGATAGATAACAAAAGAAACTTCTCTCCCTTCTATGGTTCATTCAATAAAAAATGAGCTAAGAATTCAACCCCCTGTTGAGTGAGATAGGTTTCTCCAAACTTTATTCAAGTCAAGGAATTGACATTGAAAAATTGATTGCTATGAACTCCCCACTTACCACCCACATTTTTCCTTAACTCTTACATTATGTATATCGCAGGAAAGTGATAACCACACCTGTTTCACAGGTTTGTGAGTAACTGTTGCTTCTTCTAAAAAAATCTTTAAACTTCGAAAAAATAAAATTTTATAAATAAGAACAAAAAAAGCTGAAATATTGCACTTATGATTTATTACGTAGTCAAAATTTTGATTTTAAAAAGCGGCGGCATTGATTTCATTAAAGCATGTTTTTAACATGTATTAATATTGTAACGATTTGGTTCTTGCCAATTTGATTTTATAAAATGGCTGATTTTATTATTTGGTGATTTTATTAGCAGCGGGCACTGTATTATGTTACTGTAATAAACAAGAAATACTTACAAGGTAAAACTGTAAGCCAAGCATCATGTTGTAAGCTTTGCACTTCACTATTAATAATACAAGAATAATGTCCAGCATCCTCAAAAGAGACATCAAACAAATCTAACTTTGCTTCATTTGAATCCATAAGGTATGAAGACTGAAAGTTTAAACACAATCAATGTTAAAATAATCACTTTGCAATGTTTTTAACACTGTTATTTAGGGTTTGCAATGTTTATTAAGTGCATGTTATTTAGCATTATTAACCGCAAAACCGTAACCAAATTGAATTTTTCAAAGTTTAAAGGTTAATTCGACATTTATTTTATTTACATCCAGTTAATGTTTTCTATTTATTAACAAAATAAAAAATATAAGTATTGAATAATTTTTAAATGAAGTTTTAAAAAAAATCAGCAATAAAAGAGTTTCCTATTGCCATTGTATGTATTCATTTGAAAAGAATTATTATTTAACACTTTCTATTTCTTTTGTTGTAATTAGAAGCCTCTATAGGTTGCATTATATAACCAAAAATCTCATTTTCATTAATATCTTGTTATGATAATGCCTATTACAAAGCATCATATCTACTGATTAAAGTTCGAAGTTCAATGCTCTTGTTCAGGAGTTAAAGAAACAGATTCACATAAATTTTACCAGCATTAATATAAAAAGAATTTCTTCTTTAAACCTATATTTTCAAGAGTAATAAAGATTCAGTGTCAAAAATTTTAAACTTTTATCTTTCATCAGTATCTTTTTAGTGACATATACAAGTAAAATAAGTTTGTTAGACGACATTAAGTTTGTTAATTACATAAACCTTAGATGAAAATATTGTAAAATAAAATGTTTGTCATTAATCTGTCACAAGGAATTAAGATGGTACACCAGGTAGTACAAGTGAAATAAAATTAACTAAAAAATTTATCGGTCATTCCTCCAATAGAATATTCACAGTTAAGATTTTCAAATGCATGTTTTAAAATACATCAAACTAAGTCTCCCTTTCAGTTGAGAATGTACCATCAAAAATTTTGTAAATCTATCTTTTAATTAATAACAATTAAGAGTTTTTCTTTTACACTAAGTCAGACACTGGTGTACAATCGCTAAGATTCGAACCAAGGTCACCTAATTGGGAAATAACAGCTCTATTTCCTGAGCCACTATGGCTCATGTAAATAAAATATGAAAAATATTTAAATGAAATAATTTTCCATGCGGCTACAACTTCTTGGAATTCTCAAAATTGGAATATAATGCTGATTTTTATTAATAGATATAATGATAAAACATTTTTTATAATGTTATTCACATCAATTAATACATTTTAACAGAAAACAGTTTATGCTAACAAAAAAAGTACTGTTAACATCATACATACTTCAATTGTTTTAGTATATGGTCTGCCTGCTTCATCAACATAACTACCATTTATCTCCAGGTATTTGATCCACATCACTAAATGTTTTCCACTAATAGTATATTTACAAACTAATGTGGCATTATCTCCTAATAAGGCTGTTTGATTTTGGAAATATCCATTGTAGTCAGTTGGTTCTTTAGTCTCAGATTCAGGGCCTGTAAATTTAAATGAATTTTATAAAATATACTAACTATAATAATGCATTAAAAAAATTATCAAAACATGATACTCTTTAAAATAGAATCTAGAACTCAAGAGGGTTTCTAGAATGATTGAAAGTTTGTCACAAAATTTTTTTAATTTAAATCAAGAAGAAAAATCTTTAGCAATTCCTTAATCAATACAATTATAAAATATTTAAAATAAACTACTTAAATACTTGTAAATAAATTCTAGAAATATCTAACAAAAATATTTTTCTTGATTTATTTCAAAACTAATTTTAATCATATCAACAATATGATCTATTATAATGTTTTCGATAACTAGCTTTATAATTTAATTAAAACAGACTTATTATATTTCATTACCATTTATTTTTCACAAATTATCTTTAATTTTATAAAACTTAAACTTAATAAAATATAAAAAGTTTTTTTCTTTCTTTAATTTATTTATTTACTTAAAAGTTAAGTAACATATTTAAAAAAAAAAATATACCAAACAAGCATTACATAAAACTTATTCAGAAGAGTTTAAAATGAAAAATATGAGATCTGACACAACAAAAAAATTTTATGAGCATTTTTAAAGAATTGTAATTTTACAGTTTAATACATAATAATCACAGACAGATAAGAAAAAGGAAATCATTAAAAAAAAAAAAAAAAAGGATTCAATAAGGTGGAAATTATAAATAAAACTAACAACATTAAAATAAAAACATTTAATCACATTTATATAAACATTTATTTCATTCATATCAAGAAAACATTATCATAATTATGAATATATTAAAATCATCATCAGCAATAAATATTGGACAGCTAATTTTAAATCACATATATTTGCAACCTTTTCTCATTAAAAATCTGCACAATTTGAAACACCTTGTTTGTGGCTACTTTTTTGGTTCTTTTGATGTCTTGAGAATATCACTCCCACAGTTCATCAAAGCATTGCTATTTTGAACTTTTAATTTTCTGAGATACCTTTTGCATGTTTTACCAACTCTTGGTTCTTAATAGAAGAATAAGATGCCTATATCTTTCCATACTTTTTTGCGTATTGGATTTCATCTACGTTCTCCATAAGCGTTATTAAAAGGGCCCGTCTGCCTCTTGATACCTATAAATGTGCCCCCCTTTCATAAAAATAAGGTGCCATCTCTTAAGAAACAATAAATTATTATTTTATTTTTTCAGGAAAAGGTTGTTTTCTTAACCACCTGTTTTAATGAGAAGTTCAATTCTTATTTATTTAGTTATTAATAATTGTTTAACTTCACTCTTCATTTTAGTAAGATTTTTTTAGTTATACAGCTAAAATTTACATGATATATACATATATATATATATATAAACCTTTAAAGCTGTTTATCAATTCTTCCTTTTCTTCTGGTTTACTTTTTTCTGAAGAAAATCTATAAGAATGCCTTAAATTATTTTTCAAAAGCTTAAAATTTATCTGTTCTTTTGATACTGAATGAGAATTACTTCGTGAAACATATGCATAAAATAGTATAAGAGGGTTATTTCAAAATGGAAGGTCCAATTCAGTTATGACATAATGTTACACATTTTGTTAAATTTTAACCCATTCAAAACTATCTTTTCTGTGAGGAAGTACCTTTTTCATCCCTAGGGAGAGCCCTGTAAAATATAAGCACCTACCAATACAAAACTCCTTTCCAGTCCTATTTTTCAGCACTTATTCTTGAATTAGTATTATTAAAAAAAGGGGGGGGAAGAAGTAAAAAAAAAAAAAATCAGACAGCAAGTATATATTTTAGAAAGATGTATCAGGTCACACTTTAGTTTTTAATAAATTATATTAAATGAACTCACTTTTTAACAACAAATGAAAATCATTTACTTTGGTGCCCTCCCTACTGGGTACCACACACCTATAGGTAGCTTGGTCCTGTTCAGTGAGATTTAATAAAGTAAGAGACCCATCTTGAACAATTGTCTACAATGGAAAATAAATTGCTGAAACAAAACTACAGCACTTCTTACAAACATACATTTTACAAAATTAATTAGAATAGTAATTTCATAATAAGCTGTTAATGAGAAATCTTAGAAAATATAATATAAAAATACAAAAAAAAATGATAATAATTTTTTTAGTAATTAATTACTTTAAAACTTTTTTTTCTTTTCTAATTTAAGAAATTACCATCAGATAATGATTTTCTTATATGAAAATATCAGCCAAAAGTTACACAATGAAAACTGTATTTATGTTTATGTAAGTAAAGTAATTCTAGAATTGTTGTCATTAAAAAGGAAAGAGTTTAACTTTCATTCATGCTTTTCAATTCGACATCTAATAAAACTAGTAAACAAGTTTAACAAACAATTTAAATAATGAGAGGAAATGCTTTGTATCAAATTAAATTAATGTACAATTTTTTTTAAAAATAATTCTGCATTTCTGAAGAAAAAACTATCTTTCAAAGAAACATTACAGTATACAACCAAATAATTCTTGCTTACTTACACGTTGATTCGTAGAGAGCAAATCTTTATTTTTAAACCATTTGATTTGTAAAAAAGTTGTTTCATTAGTTGTTAAGCATTCCAAAAATACTTTATCACCAGTAGAAAAATAGAAATATGTGATATTGTTGGCATGTGGAATTTCTGATGATTCACTTGGATGAGTTGAGAAGATACCTAAGATTAAATAGCATATTAAAGAGAACCCTTAGAATTTTCCTCCATATTACAGTGAAATACACATTGTAAATATTTAACTTACTTACAATCTGGAAATTACAGTAATTAATTTGCAATAATTTTATATGCAGATTTATATGCAGATTTATATGAGTTAATCAGCATGACTAACAAATGTGTTGTATTATAAATAGGGTTCACACCAGCAATAAAAATTTAGTGGTCCAAAAACTTAATATGGAAGACAAACTTGAGAAAAAAAATTGAATACTACAATAAAATAATTTATGTTATGTTACTCATCAAAAATTATTGATTGTTATCTATAATATCCTGAAACTAATCAAGTTCATTATCCTATAATGAAATACTAAAATTATAATGTATTACTAAAATTAAGTGAAAAAAATCTAAAATAATATTAGCAAATAGATTCAACATAGAAATGAAAATTCTGAGATCAAATAAATAAAAATGAATAAAAACAGAGAACGTATTACAACTGACAAAACATTATGTTAAAAAATAATTGTCTAAAAATTATAAAATTTTAAACAATGGCGATTCTAAAAAAGCAAAAAATATTGTTTTGTTTAGGAACAATTATACTGTCAGTACATGAATGCAAAGCACAGCACAATATATAAATTTTGAAATTTCAACATTTAAATTAAAAATGTTCGCACCAGACACTTTCAGTTATAATTCCACTAGAATACCATGCATTTAAATTCCATACCACGCATAGAACAATAAAATTAGTACCACTAAGTTTTTGTTAAATGCATGAAATTTTATGCAAAAAAAACTTTTTTTCAATACTATTTTGTAAATGCAAAGCATATGACAAGGCAACAAGTTTGTCACTTATGTGTATGATTTCAAAGGCATTTGTAGAACATTTGGCAATGATTGTTGCCGTACTGGGTGAACCCTAATTATAAGCCAAATAAAAGTTTTCAAGCAAATATGGCAGGAACTTAAATGGTAAATATGTTTTCATTCCTAATAAATCAGTTTTTTTATCGTAAAATTCAATAGTGTACTCAAATAATAACATACTCATCAATAAATATATATATAAAAATATAGCTGTAAAAAACTATTTAATTTTTCTTAGAAAAATTAAAATTTTCGTATTTTTATTCATTTAAAAAAGGAGTTAAGTTAGAGAACAATAATATCAAATGTTTGAATAACTAATATTTTGTTTAACAATTCAACATCAATTTAAAAATAATCCAAATTTGTTTTTTGAACATATTAAAAGAAATACTTAATAGATATAATTAATAATAGAAATACTAATAAAAGAAATACTAGAAGAAATAATTTTCCAAGCATAAAATACAATTAATTACTTTTAAACAATGATATTTCACTATAAATGTAAAAATCCTACTGTCTTATAACTTTTATTGATTCTGCATTCAACAGTAATTTGAAAGAAGTTATTATTATTAAAACTTAAAATTTCGAATTAAATCAGTTCCCAGTAAAAAAGAGACGGAACTACTACTGTTATGTTGGGTTACCTTATGAAAGGATTTAGCAAGTTTTGTGGGTATCAGTTCTTAGAATCGAAATATATAAAAATGTATTTTAAAAATATATAGAGTTGGAAAGTTAATGCAAATATCTGAAATGTCTTCTAATCTTGAAAATTTAAACCTCACATATATATACATATATACAAGCTTAGGAAATATTTCTCAACTTTAATTTCTAAGCGTACCATTTATTATTTCTTTTCTATCATATTATTATCAGAAGTAGTTAGTTTGCAAATGATTTCCAATAGCATTTTATCAAGTTAATCATATTCCAAAGTCCAATAGCATTTTATTAAAAAATAATATTTCATAAAATATATTTGCGTTAACACTAGAAAGGCTGAAACTTAGTATGGTACCTATTTTGCCCAAAAGCAGTCAAAACGACTGCATTCTGAAAGAATAACTAAAGTGTAAAGAAATTTTTTTAATTAATTTTTAATATTTTTCATATTATTTTCAGTTATATAACAAGTTATTAGTAAATATTAACAATAAAAAAATTACTTCACTTGGAAAAAAAATTTATGCATTATTATTTGTAAATTTTTGGCACATGAAAAAGCAGTCAAAATGACTTCCTTGGGTAATCTAGTAAAAAAACTGTTTTACCTTTTTAATTCAAAATTTATTTTACTTTCAGAGTTAGGAAAATTAAACAAAGAAAATTAAGAAAATTCAACAAAATGATATAATTCGCAAGAAACATGTGACATATAAAGTTCAAATACGTGTTGTTGTTCTACTCTTATGAATAAGAAAGCTAAAAAGATAAATTAAAATAAATAGTATTTTAAGGGATGATACTTACTATTATCTTCCTCAGCATATGTCCCATTCAGTAACAAAGAAGAAAAGAATAATACACAGGCTATAACTATCAACTTGGAACAACTCATGGTTCAAATCATAATTCAATTATACCTGAATAAAAAGAAAAATATATTTCAATAAATTAAAAAAAATATATACAAACAATAAGTCTCATTTCATTTTGCTGAACTTATAAATTTTCAATATTTCTGTTAAGTAAAAAAATATTTTACCTAAAAGCTTTGCAATTTTTTTAAACTTAAGCCTTATTGCAGGCTTCGCAATTTTTTTAATCTTAAGAAATAAAATTTCGAACATAATTAAATTTTAAAATATAATTAAAATACTATTAAAAATAAACCATAATAATGCATTCCTAACAATATTACCACTAAAAATGGAAATGACAAAATAATTTGTGTTCCATTCAACCCTACATTAACTACTTAACAAATAATTCAATTTAGAATACTTTAAGTTCCTATATATTAAAATTATAATAATTGTAATAATATTAATAGCACCATAAGAAAAAGTATCATCTGAATTTATCTTTTTAATCCTTTTTTTATATTGAATTACGATAATTTCCTGATAATACCATATCTACTTACAGATTCAAAAATATATTTGCAATATTAAAATAAAATGTAGTTGTAAAAATTGTCTTTCACAACCATCTTGTTTTTTTTCCTTTGGGGNAATTTTGTATTTACCGATAAAAATAAATTTTATATAATTACTTTTTACAGATACATAAATATAAAAAAAAAGTACATTAAATTATCACTTTGTTCTTTTTTAGCATTCTGAAAAATTCATAAAATAGAATTATCACTATTTTGGAAAGTCATTTCAAGAGAGTTGCACCTCAAATACTAATGTAATTTTACTAATTAAAACTAATTAACAAAGCAATATGTCTACAATGAATTTTAAAACAATGAAAATTATTAAAAACTTAAACAACCTCGTATAAAAATTTTTGTAAATTTTTAATAGATGATTTCTTTAAAAAACCTTCATTTTATTAAAATTAAGCTGATCCAAATCAAAAAATTGGGTTAATAAAGCAAAAGCTGCTTATTACAACATATCTCAACATTAGAATGAAAAACTCTTTTGAATTAATAACATATTTAAATTAAGCACATAAATTTTACATCTCACCTATCACTTTTATTAATATAATTGTTATACTTTAACGATGTATTTTAATTTAATTATTCATTCTGTGTTTAGTTACATTTAAATTAAGCATTTTAACTTTGCATAGTATTTATTTAGTTAATTCTACAATTTTTACTATCATTATACATAATTTCTAATAATAAAATTTATCATACTCAAACATTGAATTTTAATTTCATTCTTTATTCAATATTTATGATACACACATAAACGTTAAATCTTATTTATTTTTATTATCAAGTTTATAGGTTGCAATAAATCACAATACTGAAATATCCCCTTTGAAGATTCAACTCAGCATCATCTTCTTCGGTATTGGCACTACAGCCCAAGATGGGCCTTAGCCTGAAACACACTATTTCTCCAGACAACTCTGCCTCTGACCTCGATCTTCCAGTTGAAGATCTTTAAAGATCTCAGCATCATAACTTTTATAATTAAAATAAATTTTTCCTGAATTAATGTATTTTAAAGAGCGATTTGAATAGTTTTTTCTACATATTAATTTATGTATTTATACACAAATAAAACAAAGTTTTCTATACATCAATTATTAAATGATGAGAAAAAACCATAAATAAAAAACAAAAGTAAATAAATAAACTAATTAGTAAACTCCAAAAACTGGAACAAGACTTATAATTAAACAAGTAAAATTCCTAACTATATTAAGGTTCTGTTACTTGAAGTATTTATTTTATGTTATGATGATTCACATTATTTTTATGTAAGAAAATTTAATTAACTGTGTAAATCGGAAAACAAAAGCTTATTAGAATAATTTTTTAAAGAAATTTTTAAAATTTTAAATTGTTCAACTTATTGACTATTTTAACACTAAATATAATACGCAACTGAATTAATTACTGTAAATAATATTTTATATAAAAATATAATCTTATGAAATAATCATCTCCTCAAACTTGCACAATAATACAGATTTAAAATAAATCGAGGCTATCACCGATAGGGGGAAATAGATTAAAATTTGCCGAACAATTATTAAAAAATCAGTAAAAAAATTTTAAAAAAACTAATGGTAATAAAATTAAATTATTCATCACAAACATTTCCCCATTACCTCAAAAATTTCATAGTTTTATGAAATTTCAAAAAAAAAAAAAAATTTAACGTTAACATATTTAAACAGCTTTTTCTAAATTACAAAATTGGCTAACGAATAAATGATTTAAAATTGGTTTTAAAAAAAAATCCAGTTTGCTACATACAGCTTTCCTATTAAATCTTGAGAAGAGAAAATTAATTTATTACAAGTCATCAAATAGTTATTTATGGTTTAAACGGCAATGTTTTCGATTTCCATTGAAAAGTATAAAATAACAAACAATACATCAAATCAAAAACAAATACAAGATCTTGATAAACGCAAAAAAATAAATAGATACATTTTTTTATCAAACTAAGAAGTCAACAAAATTGTCAATAAAAAAAGTGAGATTATTACAAGGAACAATCATAAACAAATACAAATCACTCTCTTAAAAATGAAAACGATATCGTAAAAGAAAGGAAAATCGGAATACCCGCACTCAAGTTGACTCACAATCAAAACAACCTACGCTGATTCGTCCTTGAAATGAGCGCAAAAGTTAAAAAAAAGGCGTGATCATTTCCAATTCAATTCCTCAATTAAGAATTTTTAAATTGAATCTCCACAGAATTCATACAAATCTGAAAGGAGACCTTTTCGTTAAGCCATTTCCAAAGCACTACGATTTACATTTACCATAACACCCCACGTGCTTACAAAAGGTTTACTTCAAAAATTGACAGGGACGAGAGGAAAAACGAAGATGAAGAGCAGGCAGAAAAACTTTCTCTAAGCGTCCGTCCAATCTAAAAACAGCAAAGAGAACATCGCCAAGTGACAGCCAAGGCGCTTTTCTCAGAACAGAGACCCAATTTATTTTCCGCAAATGACGATGCCGCTCCCTGGAAAAGTCCTGTGCTCAGTAAAATGACATCATTGATTTCAAACTACGAAATGGATATAGGGGATAGAACTGAGATAGGGACATACTCAGATCTGAAATTATATCTATTTCATCTTAAAAACTCTCCTTTAATGTTATACAGATCTTGAAACAGATAATAAATGTGCTCTGAAAGAAAAAAAGAACTCTAATGTAATAATGAGTACAGAAAACCGTTTTAACTCAGTTAACTTTTTTGTATTGTACTGCAGTTATTCTCATATAGGTAATGGAAGACAGCTAGTTTTAATGTACTTCAATACAGCTTTATATCATTTTCACAGCAAAAACTGACTTTTTGTATACAATAATAATAGTCGAAAATACCTATTTCAAGCTTATAAAACATAAATATTTTTCTTATTTTAATGCGAGAAATTGTGATAAGTAAAGTTCATATAGAATGTTCCTATAATTTAAAACAATACAATAACAAAATTACTATTTACTGCTAGACAATTTAACAATAGTATAAATCTTTCAATTCTTCGAAATATTTTTTTTTTCAAATTTTATTAAAATGCGTTAAAATATTTATATATATAAAAAAAACATGCCACGTTAAATAACCTACAAAAAATAACACCTAATTGACTATTTATTCTTTTTTAAATGTATTAGAAGAGAGAGAGAGAGTTTAAATACTTTCACTCAGCTTAGAATAACTCTAGCTATTGTTATTTCAAAGATGATATGCTCAGAAATTTTGAAGAAGCTGATTTCCAAAAGACGACCTCGCGATTTGTGTTAAATTATATCACTGCAAACTGCATGAATTCCGCATTATTACGAGGAAAAATATCGTCATTTTTAAACACATGTCACAACGAACTCGCATATTTTTACGCACAAACATAGTGTATAATCAGCCTTCAATTTTTTTTAACTAATAAAAATTAAGATAATAGATTTTAACTATAATAAAGCACATTAAATAACAGCAATTGTTTTTAATTAATAAAGTTTTTAATTAAAACTAGAAAAAAATACATTCAAAATCGTACTGCTTTAATAATGGAAAACAATTTAACGAGATTATCTATTCAAAATTTTGTATTTACCTTTTTTTACATAAAATATGCGGAAATCAATTTTCAAATTTTACTATAACAGGACCTCTATTAATTTTTATAAACCAAAAAGTGTCTTGATATTTCTTATTAAAAAATAGATAGCAATGAGAAAACCTTACAATTTTTTTTTTTAAAAGCAGACGACTTTCTTAAAATTAAATCTTAATTCTAAATATATCTAACTCATCTAAAATTACTTTTTATTTTTTTGNACTATTCTAACTCTCAGAAATTTTGAAGAAACTGTTTTCCAAAAGACGACCTCGCGATTTGTGTTAAATTATATCACTGCAAACTGCATGAGTTCCGCATTATTACGAGGAAAAATATCGTCATTTTTAGTCACAACGAACTCGCATATTTTTACGCACAAACATAGTGCATAATCAACCTTCAATTTTTTTTAACTAATAAAAATTAAGATAATAGATTTTAACTTTAATAAAGCACATTAAATAACAGCAATTGTTTTTAATTAATAAAGTTTTTAATTAAAACTAGAAAAAAATACATTCAAAATCGTACTGCTTTAATAATGGAAAACAATTTAACGAGATTATCTATTCAAAATTTTGTATTTACCTTTTTTTACATAAAATATGCGGAAATCAATTTTCAAATTTTACTATAACAGGACCTCTATTAATTTTTATAAACCAAAAAGTGTCTTGATATTTCTTATTAAAAAATAGATAGCAATGAGAAAACCTTACAATTTTTTTTTTTAAAAGCAGACGACTTTCTTAAAATTAAATCTTAATTCTAAATATATCTAACTCATCTAAAATTACTTTTTATTTTTTTGAAGCAGGCGTTTATGTAAATTGGCAGAAAAATCCTTCTCTTATTTTCAGTTTCTAATTTTAATTTTAAACTTTTGTTATTGAATCAAATAAAACATAGTGAGACATTTTTGAGTTATCAAATCATTCTACAACAATCGTTTGATTTCCGTTCTAAACTTCAGTGAATTGAAACAACCTGAATATTATAACATTACATCCTGTTTTCAAAGTTTACTTACTTACTCTCCTTAAGGATCATTCTCAAATAAAAAGGGAGAGAGAATCTTCCACGCTACACCTTGTTTTTTTATTTACACATCCATATGTATCCGGGGATAAGAAGATGACAGGATGCGTTTTAGGAAGTTAATCCTTATTCCCTCTAAATAAATTCCTTTTCTTTCTCTGTAATGTTTCTCACATTTTAGCGCATTTTTCGGAGCTTTAGATTATATACGAGATTTAGCAAAGATTAAAAATACTTGACAAATAAAGTTTAAAAAACCGGCGGGATGTAACATAATCCTATTCTAGATAGTTATGGATAATCAGCACATTGTTATTTGAAATGTTAGCATTGCTTCTGCAGATTTCATTTAGAATCTTACCATTTTTTTCTTTCTTTCTTTATTTTTTTTTTTTTGTAAAAAATATAGCAGATTAGTAAGTGAGGTATACACTCAAATTGTTAATGAGAGGCAAATAAAATAATTAAAAACAATAGGTTTATTTTACGTAGTTTTAACTACATAGGGGACACTTAATATTACTCTCAAACTAATAATCGAAACAGTTATGTTTTTTACAGTCAGAAATACATTAAATTTAAGAAAGTTTGGATCTGCCTGGTTCTTCCATCAAACCCCTTAAAGTTCAAGTTAAAAATTTAAAAACATCATAAATAACGATCGATTCATTTGAACGTTAACTTGAATTTGAACTTAAATTAACATTTTTTATAAAAAAAATGTACATACTTTTTACAGTTAGAGATTTTACATACATTCTGTCACTAAATTAAATTTTATTATGAAAATTAAAACGTCAAAGTCTTTTACTATAATAAAGTACATTAATGAATGGTATTAATAGTAATTGTCCCTTAATGAATAAAATGTTTAATTAAAACAAGAAATAATTATATTCAAAATCGTACAGCTTGGACAATAGAAATCAATTTCACGCGATTATCTACCAAATTGTTGCCTTATTTTATATAAAATACGTCAAAATCAACTTTTGAATTTTGCACATGAAAGTATACCTACATAACTTTTAAAAACCAAAAATTGTCTGGATATTTTTTATATCATTAAAAAATATTTTTCAGTGAAAATGTTTTTTCAACACACCCTATTGGTATTATTATTTTTCTAGTGACTTTCTAGCAAATGATATTTATCCGATACAAAATATTATTGAAAAATAATACTTGGGAGCTTTAAATAAAATAAATTTATGTACCTGATCAATATATTTATAATTATTATTCTTTGGCATTTTAGTTAATTTAAATTTTAAAAAAAAATTTTTTACCTATTCGATTTTATGATCTTTACTACTTAGAAAAGAGTGAGCTAAAATTTCCGTTTGTCTCATATTTTTATTGCACTTCAGCTTATTATTTTTAATGAATTTATTAATTAAAGTCATGTTTAGTTCAATTCACTTTATTTAATAATAATCTTAGTATAGCAAACATAAATTACTTCAGTGAGATAAATATATTCAGAGAGGGTGAAGTTTCTTAAGATTTTAATATCATCAAAAACACGAGTTATGTTTTATTCATTATTCTCTATTCTATATATATTTATAAAAAACCAATTCATTATTGGTTAACATTCATAAAATGCAAAGTTTTCAGAAAAACGAATCGAAAATTAAAATGCAGTGTGCCTTGTGAAAATTTTAATACAAACTCACTTAAATAAGGGGCATAAAATCTTTTAGCCAGTTAAAAATTGGATAATTTTTAAACCCTAACGATTAATTTTATTAAATGAGAAAAACAATCCTTGAGGGGCATTATTTTTCTTGTCGGAAACTAATAGCTTCCGACAAGATTTTTTTCAACCGACTTGTACTGTTTCTATCCATTCTCACTCAATCATAAAATTCAATGTTTTAAATTTGAGAAAACCACGTCGTTCTAGAATTCTTAGTTTTTTATAAGAAATCTAAATCATTAAGACAATTACATTCAAACGATAAATTATAGGGGGTAAAATGAGGCTTGATTTCCCCCTAGGGATAAACGTAACAAAAAACTAAAAATAATAATAAAATAAAATAATGAGTCAGTTCAGAATGCGTTAAGAATAAAAAGAAATAGAACTCACTGAAATAAGAAAAAAAATTAACCCTTTCTGACCTCTACTATGTAAAAAAAAAGTTGTTTCTTCTAATTTAATTCTTCCGTAAGTCTATGGAACTAGATATTTTTTTGACTAATAAACTTTATATTTCATGGTATAAAGCGTGGAAATGATTTTTAAAAAAATTAAGATAATAAATTGTCCTTGGCTTAAAATGAAGTTCGCAAAAATAAACTTTTCACATTTTATACACTATTCTAACTATGTGATTAGGATTCGTAGACTATCTCAAATTTTTCAAATTCCTATAATCATCAATATAATACAATAGATGGAGAAAAAAACTAGTGGAACAAAGAGCACAAAGAAAACAATCATCAGGGTAAACAAGCACCTCGTTTTAACTAGTAATTATATGAATTTAACAAACCATTAAATTTGGGCCGTAGAGCCACATTTTGATATAAATAAGTAATTATACGAATGAAATTAGATATTTCTCATAAAGTTAATATTCATTAAGGATTAATTTACAGTTTACGGAAAGGATTTTTTCCTACTTTATACTCGTTAGCCAAAGGATTCAGACTCTAAGCCAATTCGAAACTTACACTTATCGTATTATCATAAAATAATAATACGCCAATAATCTTTTTTCAACTTGTATTTTTTTAATAATTTTCTGAAATTGAAATGCTGTATCATTTTTGTGGCTATTAAATCCAATCCATAGTGGCAATCCATCTTGATTGACCCGTTAGGTTAATTGATACATTATTTATAATAATACTTTATATTCTACATAATTGT